GCCAGTCCATGGTTCTTAGACCACTGAGAAATTTTCATCAAATCATGGTTTATCAACTGTTGTGCTTGCAAACTATCTGTGGGCTTGAAAGAAAAGAGAAGTTGCAAATCATCTGCATACGAAAACAGTGAGCAGTGAGATAATTCTTCATCCATGTTAGCAGTGTAAATATAAACAAAAGAGGTCCCAGTACACTTCCTTGAGGTACTCCACAGTTCTTTGGGAGAGGGTTCGAAGGGACACCATCCACCTTAGTTATCTGAGTCCTATTTACAAGGTAAGATTGAAACCAACATTGAGCTACTTCACCAAACCTATAAAATTTTAACTTGGCCATCAGCAACTCAAAGTCGACCAAATCAAATGCCTGGGAAAAGTCCAAAGCCACTAAAGCACTATCAAGCCTTTCATCCTTTGCTCTGTAAAGCTGGTCCATTATACAGGGTGTTTTTAAAAGAATGCCGTGATTTCAAACGGCCATTGCTCAGGGACTATTCAAGATAATTAAACGATTTAAACGTCAAATTGAAGGGAAAAGAATAAAGTTTTTTTCTCATTCTTTCATACAGTTCGGAATGATTTAATAACATTCAGATTTCATCAATCTTAATGAGCGTAAAACTGGCAAAGTCTGTACGCTTTGGGTGATCGGCATGTTTATCTGATGTCTTAACTGAATTTTCTTCGATACAAAGACTATCTTTTATAGATAACAACATAAAGTGACCAATTTAGGTTTTTTAAACTGAAGACTTCGTCGGGCAATCGATTGTTCGGGCTTATGATGCAGAAATGTCGGATTTCTTCGACTATGTCATCGTTCGTTTTTAGCCGGCCGGGTGAATGTCTTTTCAAAACACTTCGGTGCCACAAAACTCATTAAACCAGCTTCAAGTTTCTTTATCATCAAGTATATTTAAATTTATTTAATTTTGCAATGGATATAACCTATGCGAACTACAGATTACAATCTGTGCCTTCTGTTGCGCCGTAAACGTCGTACTGGCGACTGGCGTCAGGCATATGAGTCACAATAGCGGCCTATCACGCCGAAACTGTTTTACGCAGACCAAGGTCAAAGTTACCTCCCTTGCTGCACGGGAAACAAAACTTAATTATTTTAGCTTCAATTTGACGTATAAAAGGTGTAGTTACCTTGAATAGTATCCAAGCAATTGCCATTTAAAATCCCGGCATTCTTTTAAAAACACCCTGTATTTAACAAAGCTGAAGTGGTGCTAAAACCTCGCCTAGAACCGGATTTGTTTTCAGGTAAAACATGATCTGTAAAAAGCTCATTTTGGCTCACCACTACTTTCCTAAGTAGTTTGGATACAGCCGGAAGAACAGATATTGGTCTGAAATGAGACATAAATATTGGGGTTGCTTTATTTTTGGCAGAGGAAATACCAATGTATTTTTCTAACTCTTTGGAAAGCACCCAGTCACAATTGACAAGTTGACTAGCTTAGTAACCCCCAAACAATAAGGAATCACTGCCTTTAACATTTGAATTGAATGGAAATTCCATCAGTTCCATATGCACTTGTTTTGATATAATTCTTAGATTTCTTTATGTTGTTATCTTTTGCAGGTTTAAAAATAAATTCTGTATAAACTTTGTCACAAATGTTTTGTCTATAATCAATTTTACTTTGAGAAGCCTTGTTTCTAGAGCCCATGCTGACAAAAAATTATTTAAATCATCAGGCAAAAATGAGCAAATTAATTTTTTGATTACCTTTCACTATCCCTCTAATTTGCAAGACCTTCAAAACAAATTTTGAATCCTTAAAAATGTATATTCTCTTTGAAATAAAATCGCTTAGCTTTCCTTATTGCCCCATTTAACAAGTTGCAAAATTTAACTTACATCAAATGGTCGTGTGTGCTCTTTGATTGCAGAAATCTAGATTTAAATTTACGCTTTAACTTTGTCAGGTTTTTAATTTCATCATTTCTCCAGGGGGCCTTGCCCTTTTTCACTCTTTTCGTGAAAAGTGGGGCGCATGAGTCATATATTTCTGCAATCTTAGATGATAATGCCTCTGCGTCAACATCATTCAGCATACTCATACTATTCCAATCAACACTAGCAACCAGCTGACCAACTATCAGTAACCCTTGTTGATTCCTTAATAGCTTGAACAAGACTCATTTCATCAAGCATCTTGTTTATGAACCTTGTGTCACCTTCATGAGTGTCAAAAAGATTTACATTCAAATCTCCAAGCAAGACGACCTCATCGAACTCCATTTTTTTATTGATAAATAAGGCTTGGAACAACGGTCTTAAAAATGCAATATTCAACAATAACTAAATTATTGCTAATAATTAACTAATAACTAACTAATAAACTAACTAATAAATAACTAATAATTGTTGCAATATGCAACATTTGGTGGCTTGTAAACAATACAAACATTAAATAAAATGCTCACTAAGCGAACCGTATCACACATGTATTCCAAACTGATGTCAAAATTTTTCCAAACCAATTTGTTTGAAAGTGAGCCCATTCTTAACGTAAAGTGAAATTCCACCCCACTGGATGGTAGACCATTTGTAAAATCATTTCTATCTTTTCGCCATAGAGAATAACCATTGATATTACAACAGTCGTCGGCCAACATTGGGTTCAACCATGTTTCCGTTACACCTAAATAAAACATCAAAGTCTTCAATTACAGATTTCAATTCTTCAAAACCTAAAGACCTAATAAACCTAAAGAGTGTATGTTGGTGGTAGAAGGTGGTAATACTGAACTTATTAAATACTTAACTTAGTTAAGATAATGTTATGTTTACTTAGTTGTTGGTTAGGTAATGTGTTTTTTTACCTATGTTATATTGCATTTTTTTACCTTACGTTATTGACACTTACCGGTCAAATGTGCCAATATTAGTGATTTATAACGCTTTTCACAATTGTCAAACGCGTTTTTGGGGTGAAAAAGGTGTTTGCCAAAAAAGTGCCAGAGGGAAAAAGTGTTTGAAATGGCCTAAATTATAAGAAAAACACATTAAAAGTTAAAAAAAGTTTTTCAAGGGCAAAAAGTCGTTGATTTCTAGCGCTTTTCTTGATTTTCATACACGATTTTCAGGGAAAAATAGGCGTTTCCCCAAAAGTACTAGAGGAAAAAAGTGCTTAAAATAGCATAATTTTGGTAGAAAAGGTAAAATAAATTCTATATAACATAGTTTAAGTTCAGTATTACTGGAGTTCTTCTTACTTTGGGCCGGTTCAGTACAATGCACTTCCTTGCACACTAAAAGAACTGTTTTTTACAACTATCTTAAGACGCGTCTACAAAATTTGTAATTTAATCTTATTTTGTAAGTCCAGACTTGAGTCAATTTGTAAAACAGTTTTTTTTTGTTAAGTTACCAAAATTTGCTCCTGAATACTCATGACCTTAGGCCTAGTTATTTGATTCATTCGCCTCTACCAAAAATAAAAAATAAAAATACCTCCGCCGCAGCAAACCTGCAGACTAAGTGAATTTCCATTAACCTGGCTGGATTTCTACAAAAATATTTCCTTAAATAACATTAATTTTAATGAGTACCTAGGTTTGATGCCACGCTACAGGGAAGGTATTGAGGTGTGTTTTTTTATTTAAATGTTTATAGCCCAGTATGAAATAAACAAAATTGCCAAATTTGATTAAAATATACCCACAAACAAGCTAACTACAACAGTTAATTTATTCTACCTAAGAATTTTAAAGTTTAAGTTTTTTAATTATCGTAACCGTTAGGCCTACAACAACACTAAAGCAATACGTTTGAATGTACGCATACGATACCACTCTCCTATTATACAACAACAGTGCAGAGCATCTGAACATAGATTCTCTCACCACATGGATGCAAAAAACTGTTGCAAACAAAATGATTTGGCCCTCAACCATACAAAAACTGTTCGCATCAATTTCAGCTGTAAAACAGAGCAAATAGCTGACCTAACAGATGTGAAAACTGTACAGAATTTCAAATTATTAGGAATTACACTAGATGCTGGCCTTACCTGGAACAATAACATCGATGATCTTTGTAAGAAACTCAGCACTGGTGTATACGTAGTGATAAGAATTAGATGAATTGGTGATTTATTATCTATAACAGAATATTGAAGCTGCAGAAAAAAGCCATACGTATACTCGCCAAACTCCAACCCTCAGGCAGCTGCAGGGAAGCTTTCAGATCGCTTGGTATTCTGACTGTTGTAAATCTCTACACCAAAGCATGTAATCGGTGAGTGAGTCTTATCTGCCAAAAAGTACAAATATGACTTCATTCTGCCAGTACATCATACCACCCAGTACGCCAGAAAACCATCCTACAGTGGCCGCAAAGTCTACAATAGCCTACCACCATCACTGAAGGGAAAACCGCTGGAAACACAGCTTCACAAGTGGCTGATAGAAAGACCTGCTTACTCCTTGAATCCGATCTACATCAATAACTTGCACTGAATTTCACAGCATATTGTTTAACACTTAAATTAAAATAACAATTTTTGATAGTCTTCGCTTAAACACTGTTTCTTGCAATTTCACAGTCCATCCAGGTACTAAGCCATAAAAATCCATGTACTAGTTTTAAATTATATTATTGTATGACACCATTGCAGTTTCTTGAGGAAACTACAAATAAAGAATATTTTGATTTATTTTATTTATGCAATTGTTGTGCAAACTACTATTAAGACTGATATTAAAATATAAAACTTTTTAAAGAAAGGTTCAATTAAATAGAAGTTTAGTCAAATATGTCACAATTGATTTCGATAAGTTTTTTCTTCTCTTTGCGTTCTCATCAGTCGTTTAAGAGGAGTATGTAAAACAAATAAATAGCCAGAGAGTAGAGCAAAAGCTTTGCTCGCTTCACTCAAAAATAATATAGTCAACAAAACTGTAGGTTTAACAAACATATTGTTTGTTTATACTTTAATAAATATAGATTTGTGTGAACTATTTCGGAAAGAAAACTCAAATTTGAACTCACAGAAACATTTATTGAAACGTACAAAAACCAAAGTTATAAAGTGAGAATTAAAAGGTGCGGAAAGCTTACAAATTAGCATTTGGTGTTCTATCACTGAGGGTAAATCAGTCAAGATGGAATAATACTTAACATTAATGGTAAATGGCAGTAGATGTAACTAGTACTGCAGGTCATATAACACATCTACATTTATTTGTTCGATAGTCCTTTTAACTTAGTTTTTGATTGTCAGAAACAAACTCCAGTATCAAAGTAAAACTAAGGAATTTTGAAACCGTTTACACAATTTGACGTTAACAATAACGTGTTAACGTGTTAAATTAGTAATCTAAATTAATTGACCATGTTAACATAAAATTGGATGCTAATTTGTTCTTATTTTTCATCCAGACACACGAGTTAAAAATTAATTATGTTTTGTGTACTTTGACAAATTTTTCGGTTGGGAAAACCTCAAATACTTACAAACTATTAAAATTTAGAGCCTGCAGTACAGTTGAAGAGTTTACAACGCAAACAATTAAAATATCGAGAACAGAAAATACACCTAAACAATTACTAAACAGGTAACTTATCAATGACAGTAATTTTAACAGATAGCAAGTAACTTAAAACACCTACCTAACTGAAGGTAATAAGAATGTTTCATGGAAAGTATTATGTAAGAAGTGCTTTTGTTACAATTGCTCCGTTACAAATTTGTGCAGATATTATGTGACTTGTTAGAAAACCCTAAACTATAATGAAAATATTGTCAATACCAATTCCATACTTCAATCCAACAATTTATTATCATTCACTTTGTATTATAGGCTATCAGAATGTATTCCCTGACATGAATCTCGCAAGGTTTGATTAAAACTCTTAAAACTTCTGCATGCTAAAAATACAATGTCCAATCACTTAAAAACATCAAATTACATACCAATTACTTTAAAACCTGTAGTAAAACTAGATCGTTGTATCTTCTATCTTATCAACATTAAAACACACACTTTAAGGTCTGCATATTCAAAATATTGGACTCCATATTCCTACATTAAGCTAAAAATCATAAGTTGTACCTTTACTAAAAGAACTTAAAATACTATCAGTTCTGAGGATGTAAATCCCCGCATACTGTTTAACAGTTAAAATACACCAAATAACAAATAAACTATCTAACTCCCTTTAAAAATAACTTAAAGCTTTTTTTATGAAAATAGAGATACGTCGATGTAGTTCATTTGTTCACAGCTATACTACTCGATAATTCTAAACACAAAACAAGAATAACAAATTGTAACTCAAATTACTTAAGACTTGTGGTACTAATTACTTCTTTAGTACAAACACAAATAAATACAGGCATTATCACTAATACAGACACTTTAAAATAAATGCCAACAAGGAATGCACAAATTAACAAAGGTTGAGTAACCTAAATAATAGGTTGAATGTAAATTAAACTAACACGAATGTTCTCTTGGCTATAAAGTGAAAAGCAGTTTATATTCCTAAACATTGAAAGCAATTTGCTTTGTTGAAAGAACTTGGCTTTAATAAAGCAGCATTGTAAAGCATTGTGATTAAGGGAACAAGTTGAGGAAATTTAGCTTACTTGCTTGGACTAAATGAATATTTTCTATTAAAGTCTCATTAATTCCATTTTAGAATAAAATTGAAAATAATTTCACAAACAAATTTGAAAAATCATTAATTTTGAGTGTAAATACAGTAGGTAAAATGACTGTTCCACAAAACTTTAGAGATTAATGAGGATAAAAAAAAAATTAAAATATTAATTCAAAATTTTGGGACAGCTAGGTAGAACTGATCAAAATTAAGCTTTATGCAATTGAAATTTAAGTCAAAATAATTGTTGGTGATATTCGGGAGGATTTAATTTTTTATTGAAATAAAAATTGACTTCAAAGATGATAGAAGATACTGGTTTATTATATGCAAGCAACCAAAAGTGGAAACCTTTAATTTTTAAAGGTGTTTAAATTAAATACGCATAAGAAGATGTGTTAGTTGCATGTTTTTGAACTAAAATATTTTCATGCAATCCAAAAAAAATCACAATTTCGTTAAACATGACACTAAGGTCCACAATCATGTTTTGTAGGAAATACTCGTTAAATATTTGATCTAATTTAGAACTATTAAGTAATTTTCAAGAGTTCCCTCGCCCTTCCCGAGCACAATGAGACACGTTACGCTTAGAAACAATCTGAAAGCAAAAATCTTAAAGCAATCACATTATAAAGTGCTTTTCACTATCTTGTATGTCTCGAGAAGCTTATTTGTGCTTGCGATGGTGATGCTGCAATTTGGCCACTGCTTGCTCCAAATCCTTGATTTGACGATCTCGAGAAGCGAGCTGCTTTCTCAGGAACCTCAACTCTTCCCTCTGCCGCAAGTAGGCTCGTTGTAACTGCAACATGGACAAAACAATGAAGTCAACCTCTAAAACTTGTTGTTCCAGATAAAAAAAAAAATGAATAAAACGAAACTTCCTCGTCAGTAAAATGACGCTGCTACGGTTTGACGAGACCAGCTTGTCACAAGGCAAAATGGTAGGTGGTGGTATCTGACAACGAAGCAAATACCTAACTATTTTGAACTTTTTCATTCCCTATTGTAGTGAGTGCAACTGAGTATTGTTTTGTCTAAAAACATATTTTCAAACGTGATAACTATGAAAGGTTGATGATACTATAGAAGGTTATGGATCCTTTAAGTTTAGGTGATACAGTATTTAAAGTTATATTTTGGTGATGAAATTATGACTTTTGACTAGCACCAACACTTGCTAAACACCAAAGAGCAAAAAAAAAATGGATAGTTTGGTGCAATTTGGAAAAAAATAGCACAGCAGGATTTAGCAGTAAAAAAATTGCCTTGAAGGGTTGATCTGACTCCAGTCTTTACACCCAAGAAAAAATTTGGGCCCCTAAATGCCTATACACTTCTTCCACGTTCTATACATCGAATTATGATGTCTACAGCAACTATCATAACAAATTAAGGGTTTATTTAGAGTTTAGGGAACCTTACCATGTAATTCTCTGGGATAACCTATCTGTATAATATAAGTATATTATAAACAATAATTAGTGCGTTCTGGGAACACTGACTGGTGCACAGAATGCGTCGTTCTGGGAGACCGGCGAGTTAACCTAGCAGACAGATATTTCCTCATTTTCGGACCGGTGCAAGATTTATGCTCCGGAAAAATTGTACGGTGCATAATACACCGGCCTCTGATTGGTCAGTTTCTTGTACAATAGTATGCAGCTACAACATTGTTGGTCCATCAAAATAATGTTCATCAGTTTGATAGGTTATATTACGTAATAAGTGAATAATTTTCAAATAATTTATACTGTGAGGGTAAGTTTGTTTGATTTAAATATTAAAAAGTATATAGTAGGTGGGTGTGTAAATTATAATCCCGATGTGTACCGTAAACCAGTGACTAATTGTTCTGGGATACCAAGACTTTTGCCCCAGGGCGGTACCGTAATGGTGCACCGGTACATGTTCCCAGAACACACCCAATGATACAGGGGATTTAACTAATGCATAGTAATAATGTTAATATGAACAAGACAATGTTGTCAGCTGACAAAAGATGTTGGTTGTTGACTTAACACATAACAGTTCATGGTATAACAAAATTTGTCAACGGAAAAGATCATTCAGATCGAAATAAGAATAACTTGGTTATCAGAAAAAAATTAACGGTTAACAACTAAAACATTTTCTAGTAAGAAAAAGATAGAAAACATATTCTGTGGTTGTTTGTAAACATCTGGTACTCATCTGAAATATTTAGGACTTTTTCAAGAGACTAACAACCTTCACATTCTCCAATTCGGTGTCTGTCTGGTAAACAAAATTTTGAAATATTCAGGTACAAGGTATTTGTATATTAGACAAGACTAATTATACCTACTATTCTATCATTTTCTGCAATCTACGTACCCCTGGCCATATATACGACTACTTTGGTGGTATCAGGACTTAAAACTTACTTTAGGATTTACTTCAGCTTTTTTTTCAACTGCGCTTGCTACAGCTAAGGGAGTTGTGCTCTGCAATAGGGAATAAAGACAATGCAAATTCATATTTCTAACAATGATTTCAAAACCACGTATAACATGTCAAATCCCATGGAGTTTATGGACAATGTTATCATTTTTCAATTAGATTTACCTCTGTCACAGGAAAGTAAAGCATAGTGAAAATTTACATGTACAAAAAAAAAAAATTGGTCAGTTGACAAAAGATTCTGTTTTGTGGACTTTGCACATCACAGTTCATGGTAAAATTAAATGAATCATTCAGATCAACATAAGAATAACTCAATTATCATTATCAGACAATAATTACTTTTGGTAAAAAATTCAAACATTTTCAATAAGTAAAAAAAAATAAATAAACATTTTAAAATTCTGTGGGTGTCTGTGGACATGGTGCTCAACTGAAATATTCAGCTCTTTTTCAAGAGATCAGTGTGTCTTATTAGCATAATATGGAATTAATTAAGTACAAGGTATTTGTTTGTGATTGACAATCTCTGGTAAAATAATATTGGACAAGACCAGTGAATATCCCTACTAAACTCTCATTTTCTGTACAGTACAACCCTGCTAGTCCGACCTCCACTAGTCCAACTCATTGCTTAATCCGACCTTGCTATCGCCTATTGGTGACCATGTTATCGCGGTAGTATTGTGACTATTTGCCTTCGTCCTGTGGAGCAGATGACCAATGTCTTCGTAGTGGAAACATAATCATTTTTTGAGATCACTGAAACATTTATTGTCTTCCTCCACGATCGTGGTAAAATATTCATTGTCTCTTACTATCATGGGAACATTATCATCGTCTTTTGTGATTGTGAAGGAATACAGGGTGCACCAAAATAACCTACCTAAATAACCTAAAATAATGACGGTTTTTAATACTGAATAACTCAAGAACAAAATACAATTTTATGTATTAAATAATGTTATATTGTTCACACTACTATGCCATTTTAATTTATGAAAAATTATATCACTTAGGTGATGACCATCTCCTAAATGTAGGCTTCCCATATTTTTTGCATATTTGCAGTCACCTTCGCCTGAGAAATAGTAGCAATCTCTTCCCGGATACACTGCTTGAGTTCAGGGATGGAGGTTTCAAAACAAACGCTTTGCTTTTTAAATATCCCCACAGCCAACAGTCACACAAAATTAAGTCTGCGGTTCGAGCTGACCACAGCACATCACCAAACCAAGAGATTACTTTACCGGGAAAGAGTTCACACAAAACTGTCATTGAATAATTGGCTGTGTGACATGTTGCGCCGTCCTGTTGAAACCATGTGTTGGTCATGTCTATCCCTCTTAACATTCACAGTTGTGGAACCAAAAACCCCATCAGCGTTTCCACATAATGTTCCAGGTTTACAGTAACGGTGTAAACCGTGTCCTGTGTAAAATCCTGGTCATACTACCCGTTGTATGAACATCATCACCGTCTTTAGTGATCGTGGCACAATATTAAACACCTTCCGAACTCGCGTGGACATCATCATCATCTCCAACAATCACGGAAACTTTATCATTTTTAGGATTCTATTGAATTGTGGTAAACACCTGAATATATCCTGCCGTGAAGGAACATTATTGACGTCTCCCGCGATCATTACAGTTTTCAAATATCATATCTCCCACGATCATTACAGTTTTTCGAACATTTCCTGCGATCACAGAAATATCATCATCGTCTCTCAGGACCATGTCAAAATACAGTAGAACCCCTCATATCCGGCCACCACGGGACCAAGCCCTTGGCCGGATAACGATTTGGCCGGATAAACCAACCTACTATGAAAATGACAATTCATACCTATCATATATAGGTAATCAATATATGCAATCAAAAGTATCATTTAATTCTGTTCTGGGATCATTTTTAGAAAAATAAACATGTTTGTAAAAAGAAAAAAATATTTGTAGGTTAAAGTCATTAAGTAATGAATGTACAAATATTATGATTTCAGGTAACAAAACCTATTAAATGGAGGTAAAAATGACAATAAATTGTACTTGAAGATCATTAGGACTTAAATGGTACTTGCATTTCTACTCAACATTCTTATCCATTTTGTGAAATACAAAAATTAATGTACTGTACTGTACTAACCCCACTTTGGAAATAATCAACCATCAGAGGTTAGGCCTATTAGCTCAACTGATAGTGGCTCAACTGATAGTGACTCAGCAAATAAATGTATATACAAACAGATAAGTAAAGAGAACAATTTATTTTATGACTTGAGCAGTCACAAAGACTTGCATCTAAACGTCTGTAACCTGTGAGAAAAACATTTTGATATTGGCTTCCTGGAAGGGGCCGGATAAACAGAGGACCGGTAAAACCAAGGCCGGATATGAGGGGTTCTACTGTATTGAATGTCTCCCATGGTCATGGAGGCATTATCATGGTCTTCGTAATCGCAAGCAATCAATAAACGTCAGTTAAGCAATTAATTTTACAAACTTAATCTTAATATGCTCCTCAGATAATTCAACCTTTTAATTGTTTCGACCATGGTCCCGGTCCCGTAGGTGACGGATTAGCGGGGTTGTAATGTAATAAAAAAGTATATGTATGTATCCCTGGCCATATGTACTACTTTGGTGGTATTCAGGACTCAAAACTTACTTTAGGATTTACTTCAGATTTTTTTCCAACTGTGCTTGCTACAGCTAAGGGACTTGTGCTCTGCAATAGGGAATAAAGACATGGCAAATTCATGTTTTGATTTCAGAACTATTTAGTATATGTCAAATCCTAGGGATTATGGATTATGTCAACATTTATATATGAAACAGATGAATACTAATGAAGATGCAGGGGCTCGTGAATACACCAGAGTCCAGCTAATCCATTGGTTTATTTTATACATGATTTGCCTCCAGGATTGATTATCCGACATTAAATGAGGTTACTAACCTGTCGTCAATCAATCCTATATTTGTCGTAGATGACTTTAATTTCGGAGTTAAAACCCCAATTTCAAATCTTTCTCTTCAGTCCTCAATTGTCAAACATATCTTACTGCACCGGCCGTTGTCAATAACACATCACACATAAGCACTTACGGAAACATTTAGATTCATAATTATATACAAGCGGTCAAGGACAAAACCAGACCATTTATAGATTTAAAATGAGGTAAGTAACCTTATTTTATGTACTAATTGGGATCGGATCCTGTTCAGATTACCTACGTGTTTCTAGATTAGCAATAATTTGCATCAAGAAATGTGTCTAATGTGACTGCTATTGGTCAAATAATGGGGAGCTGGTCTAATAGAATTAGTAAAATTAGCAAAACAATGGAATTAGCATGGTTCAGATTTGCAAGACTCTGGTGTAAATGAAATGAAATAAAAAAATTGTTTATTTAGTCAGGAAAAGCCTCATTGCCCTTTCTTACACTTAACCTGACTAACAAAAAAGGAATAAAATTACAAATAAAAACTTAATCTAATCTGGTTTATGTGTATGTATACAGGGTTGGGTAACCTATTTTAGTGGTGATTTCAAGTAAAAAAATTTAAAGGATAGGTTTTAAAATAAAATTCAAAATAAAAACATCGACTAAGGTTGTTTTTTCCCTGAATGCTAAAACCTTGATATTATCGGTACATGGATGGTGAACATTGATGCTCATCTCTACCCTGAACATAAATCTCGAAGGTTTTCACTCCCTGTATTCTATGTCTCTCGTTACTAATACGCTAAAAACAGATGATTACTTTGAAATCCATATACAGTGGAACCTTGATAACAAGACCCTCGATAACAAGTCACCCTTGATAACCAGTGTCATTTTCAAACCCCCTTGAATTTATTTACCCTTTAATTACATGTTATTGCAAACCTCGATAAAAAGTCAACCTTGATAACAAGTCTTATTTGATATTCCCCATGAGAGTCTTGTTATCAAGGTTCTACTGTACTGCTGCTTATATCTGATAAAAAAAAAATGTTCTACTTATCAAAACAGTATGGAGCCCGTATTTTGTAAAAATAAATAATAAAGAATTATAACAAAATGTATGATTCATTGGTCCAAAAAATTCTCTAAACCCTTATTCATTTCAAGCTTTGAAGAGTCCCTATATGTAATGATGAAATATGCTTTTCAAATGCATGACTTACCGCATACTCAGTCTTCGGAATGTCTTCGTAGTCGCTTTGTTCGATAATCTTTAAGTTCATGAAGTCTTCGTTCATGATATCACTCTGGAAAAGGAAAAAAGTTATTAAAAGAATAGTCACTGTACATATATTTATGTATTTTTTGTATGTAAATTCAGATAGGTTACCTAAGTACATTAGAGACCAAGGGCTACAGGTACCCCAAAAGGTCACACAATATTTTGTTTGTTAAGATTGCATTGTGAATGTAAAGTATAATTTCACTCAACTAAGTATAAGACTCGAATTTACACAGGTAAGGAGCTAACTCTATCCTTTACCAAAGGCCTCTTTACCAACCTTAAGATGTAAAAAGATTTAGGCTTCGTTTTCAGGTTGGTAAAACTCAAAAAGAAAGTAGCATGCACTAATAAATTATTTACAAAATTATGGCATGGTAGTACTATTTATTTTATTTATTAAAATACACTGTGATCCAAAAATTATACAAGTATTCAATTTAAGTGGCTCCTGAAAAACTCCATTAAAACTTTAGTAATACAATATTCAGGGCTTTCATTAATATGCAGGGTTTTAGAAAGTTCAAAAATGTGAAACACGAAATGTTGAATATTTGTCAAGTAAGTTTTCCTAAAACATTTGATTAAAGTAAACAATTTAAAATAAGATTTTTCAAAATAAACAATGTTAGAGTGTTTTACGCTTTCACTGTAAATAAAACATTTAAGTTTTGTTCCATACTCATTAATGCCGATCATTTAATGCCAGATCTTAAAAGTTACCAAACCAATTGATTTACCTTTAAATAAAATCCAATAGCTTATTGATACAAAACATTACTAAACTGCTCACAGAAATAACTACCTTGGCAAATTATCACACCTACAAAAGTTAAAACACACACCTAAAATATAAAAAATATACAATAAATATAACATCAAAACACAATTACAAAAACAACACCAAAAATGTTCAACGAATACTCAGAAAATACAATATTAGGAGGTATCTGCTAATAGTTTGGAAGACGTTAAACCCTCAACCAGAATCATTTTCTGATCCAAAAAAGCAAAAGTACATGAAATTATGAAATATAATTTATACATGGATAACTTTTAACAGCTGGAGTAGTTCTGGATCTTACAAGATACAGCTAAAACCTTATATAAAAAATTATTTCAATATCTCATAAGGCTGTTTTGGAACTAGAGAATCCTCACAAAGCTCAGTAGTTCCCGAGTTTCCACGTATGCCGCCACTGTTGCTGCTAGTACGGTGATTAGTACGGCGTAATGCAGATCGGTCTATTCAGCCGTGGAAGGCGTTTAAAAAAAATAAGAGTACAATGCATCCGTACACAACGCACATACCATTTGCTTGCCAAATCCCGTTATCTTATATGGTGCTATTATTAGTTACCAAAATCACCACTAGGCCTGGGAATCATAATTTGTGGACTGTGTCAGTGTAGAAGCAATACAGTAGACCCCCTCTTAACCTACCCTAATGGGACCGGACATAGGTAGAATAACTCAAAAGGTCGGTTAAAACGGGCAATCCCTAAAAACATAACAAACTGAAGTGCTATTCATTTGGAATTATATAATCATTTCGAAATGTACTTGCATTATTTATAAAATAAACTACACTTATCTCCTTCTTTTCGTATTGATAGAAAAGTCACAAATAAACACAAAACACGGATAAGTTAAATACTTTCAGTGGAATAAATTATAGTTGTAGGCAAGAGTCAATAAAAATTCTTATTTTAATAATTTAAATACTGTAACATTAATTGATACTTTCCAAATCTATCGTAATACAGTATAGAACTTTTTGTCAAAATCAAAGATGCAAGCAAACATTTTGCTACGAGACAGGATGGTTATTTATAGCCTCTCACTGGATGCTCTAGTCACAAAAACTATCTTGACCTTGGAATCGTTAACCCCCTCCCCTGCCCGCTCTAAAGATTGCATTGTTTGTTTAATCTAGCGATAAGATAATTCTAGATTGGTATATTACAAAAATAGCCACTGTTTTCAGAAACATAAATTTTTGGGATGGATACAGAATAACTTATTCTTAGTCACATTCTGTGGAGATAAGCGTATGGTTCCCATCGCTGTGGGAGCGGAAGTGCCGAGATTCCTAGAAAGTAGCAGTTAAACCAAACTGCTCTCAAAGCAAGGTCGGTTAAAACAAACTGTAATAGTTTACTATCGAGGGCGGATAGTTCGATTATCGATTAATGTGAGGTCGGTTAAGAGGGGGTCTACTGTGTAAGCATTATTGATCAATACTTTTGATTCCAGTTGTTCCGTTCTGCACACTTACGATGCATCTTTAGCAAACATAACCTGGCCAGCTGTTAGTTAACCTAAACAGCTGCAGCTGTTGTTTTGTATTTTCAAAAGAGTATAAAAACTATAATTCATACATGGATAAAATATTGTATTGAATAGATTTATGTAAATAAAATAAGAAATATTATGTATTTGTTGTGTTTTTTTGTTTCTGTGACTATTCATGTATGTATGTACAGCTTGCAAAGATGATTTTACTTGATTTAGTTGAAGCAGTGCATGCAATTTAGTGAAACTTACGATTTAGACTTTATTTGTAATACATTTTGTTTGGAATATTTTAAACAGTGATACTGATACTGTATTTTAAATAAGGTGGATTGAAGTTTGTTTTAATTTTAGTGAAAAGGAATTGTGTAATCACGTGTGACTTTAAAGAGAATCTAAGGCTGCATATAAAAGTATGATTTGCAGCACTAATTTTACGAAAAATTTGTGTTATTTGTAATTTTTATCAATACAGTATTTATTCTCATTTCTGAAATTCTTTTGCATTTTGATTTTATTTACTTCATTTCCTTTTATGACTCCATCTGAAGTTTTTATTATTATTTATTTGTGATTAAATGTTCGTTTTTGCCTCCAAGATTGTTATGACTATGATATAAGTTACATAACTTTTGTTGTCATCAAGCACTATCTGTTATTAGATTACTAACTTAGTAGCATTATTTAAAACAAGGTGTCTGGACAATGGTTTTGTTTGGTCTGTTCTATGATCATGTTACCAATTTTTGTTTCAATGTTTATTCCTTTTATGGTGTTTAAATGTTCTTATGACAATATGTGTTTTACCTACGACCGTTTATTAAATTAGCCGTTTCAGTTCAGTTCTTAGAATTGAAAATTGTTTACTTTCATAACAGCATAGTTTTTCGAAACAACACAGGTAACGGATCAATGAGGTTCAAGGACTAAGAGAGAAGAAGTAAAATTGTAATGATTCAAACTTCAACTAATCAGCTGTTCAGGCCAATTTAGGTGCAATTAGTGTTTGGTGCAATGTTTCGTTGCATCACTGTCAGTGGCAATGAGAGGTATATAAACGAAAACATAACCTCTCTTAGAAGTTATGAGCAGTGAGTTTTAGTAATTAAAACACTGTCGTAGGTAAAGTAGTGTATGCACTCGCGTAAATAGTGTTAACGAAATCGTTGCGTAAACTATTTTACATTCTAACAAGATTTGAAAATGCAGCTTTAATGCTCTGATACTATATATATAAATAATAGGCCTACATAGTGGATGAAGACGACAAAACATGCGTAACCTATATTACAGTCACAATTTTAAGTTTAACAGGTTTAAAAAAATAAAAATAAAAATAAAAATATTAAAAATCAGGTTTTCAAGTTTTAAACTCCTAACTGTATACATAGTTCAAAAACAGTATGTAAAGTCTTATTTCGAAGTGTTAAGATCAAAACAAATTCATGCGGCGTGCGAAGGATCAAGGGAAAAGCAGTTGGGGAAACATTCATGCATTTCACTAAGTCACCTGGTTGCTAAAGTTGGTGAACATGGTCTGAATCTGCTGAAACTTAGTACTTTGATTGGTCGAGGTTTTCTGCAGTTTCTCACTTTCAGGTAGCAGCTGTGAAATGGAAATTACTATTTAAACAACAAACTGTAAACCACCAATCTTCATTACTAACAGGGTTGGTTATTCAGGAGTAGGTAAAGATATATATCAGTGTTTCCCAACAATTTTTTATGACGTACTATTTTACAAGAAATAAATGTTTTGCGTACTATTGTTTTTTTGACACTGTATATATCTCACATATTAAGACCACCTATAGCAATTTTATTTATTTAAATACCCCCACCGCAGCAAACCTGCAGACTAAGTGAATTTCAATTTTTTTTCCTATGACGACAGGCCTGGGATTTCTTTTCACATTACTTCACGCTAGACCTATGGGTTGCGGCATTATCACTTAGATAAAATCCATTGGTGACTTGCTGAGGTTCCGCGCTCTAACCACTACGCCAGCTCACTCCCTAAGCAAATTTCCATTAGCCTTATTGGATTTTCACTCAAATATCTCCTTAAAAATATCATATTTATTCCGTATTCAAAAAATATTAGTTTATCGAGTACTTAGGTTTGCTGCTACAGGAAAGGTGATACATTTTATAACTTTGATCAAAATATGTTCATAAACAAGGAGACTACAACAGTTTACTAATCATCCATAAGAATAACATAAGAATTTTAAATTTGCAGTTTTTTTGTAATTTCTGTTTATTGATTAAGCGCATGACAACATTTCAATATAGTAAATTATTTGTTTTTTTAACTCAACCAATCGGTTTAGAAAAAAATTGCAAAATCTTATGTTTTTAAGTCAAAAATGGAAAAAAACCCCGTTTTACCCCATAATACCCCCATAAACCCCTGTTTCCATAGTCCAGTCATGCTGGTTAGCGAACTCATTCGAATGGATGTAGGTTTACACGTTTATACCAAATTTCATAAAAATCGGATCATTTTTGCTTGAGTTTAAGTTAATAGCTTTTTTGGAACTATATGGAAAACGATAAAAGATCCACTCACAATGAATGAGCCACTCACAGAGTCTACAATCCTATTTTCTTTCTTGGTTTTTGTTACAGTTGATATGACAAAAGATGCTATAGTGTTCAATAAGTTTTCTTACAGTTTGGCTTGGTTTAAAAGTTTGTGTATTCGACAGAAAGTTACACCAGTACTCTCTGCCTCCTGCTAAATTCAACTGCGGTAATTTTTACTCGAAACTGGCAGTTAGTGGAAATTACGTTTAGTCCTATGATTAAGGGTGTAATATGTGTATTATTTATTTTTGCAAACCTAACTAACTTAGTTTCCAACCGTAATTATGCACATTTGCCAAGAATATTGCATTTTCACAATTTGTGAATACCTCAGTAAAACACTGAGTACTGGGCGTAAGAGTTGCATCAAATAATTTCACCGTTCTAACCTATTCTTGACTGTACACAGTGGCTGATGAGCTGATGTACGCACAAACAATCCTGACGTATAATACAGAGTGGGGCAGTATAACTTCCTTTTTGTTAATTTGCGCCATTTTGTTTGTTCATGCTATAGCAAAGAGCTAGCAGTCTTGTTCGAAAGACGCGGCTATAAAGTTTTGTCCTTGCGCAGTTTAGTCACCATTATGCGTTGGAACAGTGAAGAGCGTGCGTTTGCCGTTGAGGCCTACTTTTCCAGTGGATGTTCAGTGATCGCAGCCCAGCGCGCCTTACGGAATCGGTTTAATTTGGCCCTGTTAGCCCCTGTTCCAGACCGGAAATCAATTCTCTTGTGGTTCAATACGTTTAGACAAACTGCAAGTGCAACAAAACGAAAAACTGGAGTCCCATGGCCCATTAGATCACCAATCATTTAGATCATTTGAGGCAGTGAGAGCTTCAATGTTGCGATCGATCACCAAGGCGTCCAGCGCTCAAACATACGTCTCCCCTTAGACTTTTTTTGGACTTTCCATTCATTCTGTAACGAGAGTTTTCCATAATTACCTATATTTCCATCCATACAAGATGGGGATTGTGCAGGGACTGTGAAAATGCCTTAATTCAATCAGGGGCGATTTGCACTGGCTAGCTTAATCTCCCGATTTGTCCCCTTGCGATTTTTTCTTTGGGGGTTTTTTAAGTCCCGTGTTTATGTGGACCGCCCAAGGACCCTTCAAGAAAAAAAAAAACAAGATCCAGGAAGAAATTGACAACATAACGCCTGCTATGGTTTAAAGGGTAATGACAAACACCAGAAATCGGTATACTCAATGTTTTTAGAATGGAGGATGTCACCTGCATGATTTTCTCTTCAAAACTACTTAAAACAAAACTTTAGGAATGTTCTTACATTGTAAAACCCAAATGAAGTGTGTCTGACTCATACAATGCGTTTAATAAAGCTTTGAAAAAAGGAAGTTATGCTGCCCCACCCTGTACTTGTACTTAAACTTCACCATGTACTACCACAGTCGCCCCTGTGTACCACAGTCTCCGCTGTGTACCACAGTCTCCGCTGTGTACCACAGTCTCCCCTGTGTACCACAGTATCCCCTGTGTACCACAGTATCCCCTGTGTACCACAGTCTCCCCTGTGTACCACAGTATCCCCTGTGTACCACAGTCTCCCCTGTGTACCACAGTATCCCCTACTGTGTACTACTAGTGGTACACACGTACCACGGGTTGGGAAACACTGATATGGATAACTGTTTCAAAGATCAATGGACAGAACAGGATGTTATAGGAAGACAGATTCTGGGCTGGAACCTTGAGGGACAGCCAAGGAGAAGAAGACAAAGGCAATTGCAGAAGAAAATTGTAGAAAACAAAATAGGAGCATAAAAGATAGATAGAGAGGAAAGCCTGGAATGGGAGTGAAGGCGTAATTGGAAATCGTGTTTGATGGCACTGTTTTGACAAGGCCCTTATGGAGAGAAACAAGGAGAAAATGGGGAAAGAAATGATGCAAGACAGGATGAAGTCAATTGTAAGTCCAAAAAACCTTTACAGTTGGAGTGGCCACATCAGTAAGTAACTTATGTAACTAAGTTCCCAAACTATTGAACATTGCAGTGTTGTAGTTTTATACAGGGTTAGACAAATTTGTGAATACCAACTCTTAAATTTTCAACGATTTACACAAGGAATTTCTGCAGCATAGCATTGCACTTATTGTCTGCCCCAAAGCAGAACTACAGGCGACAGTGTGACACTGTCACAGAAAGACGGCAAGGGATGCAAAAAAGGGGCGCATGCTATAAAAATAATTATTTTTTTTAAATGAAAAATTACTTATTTTACAGGCAAAATTAGGGCCACATTATTCGTTCTTCCACTTAACCTGTATAAATTTATGCAGAAAATGCTACATAACAAGTTAATAACATTGTTTTTTCACAGAAAATATTTCTGTAGAAAGTCTAAAACTTTATTTTCTGCAGAAAAATTCTCCGTTCTGCAAACAGTAACGCTACAAAACGTCATGCATTACATAAACGAAAGCTGTGACGTCAATACTCGGTGCATCAATCATGAGTAAGAATATATAGATAGAATAACCGTATTACTAAGTGATTGAATGTAATAACAGTAGGCGTTTAAAAAAAACTATCACACACACGGTTCATTTACACGTAACTTGGACTATGTAAGACCACAGACAATTTTTTGATTTTTCCAAGACCATTGCAGAAAGTTTAAAAACGTTGTGCTTTGGGGTTTGTCTGTATTAAAACTTTACAATGTGGTATTTGGGTGTCAAAATTTTAAATGTGCCCCATCGAGTGACACCTCTTTTAAACGCGTTTATTAATAAGTAGAGGTATCTATTTCCACCTTGAACAGGTGGAATGCACAGTAAAACACAACACACAGAATTCGAAAATGCACAGTAAAATAGGCTGATGAAAATTACAGAATGGAATGACAAGTTCTATAAATAGACAAAAGTTTAATTTATCAGTAAATGCTTGATGAATGAAGATTGTAATTAACTGATAACTCACTTCAATTGGTCGGTAGTCCGGTGTCGTCTGGTTAGAGAGGAAGGCGTACTTCATACGGTAATTGTTGTCTGCTGTTGCCGACCTAGACAACTCAGTACCTTTAAACACTTGAGGCTTGTGAGTGCAAACTGCAACTCCTGAAATCACAAACATTCAAATATTATACACTAATACTTTTGACAAATAATTACATTCATTAAAAATAGTTGGGTAACATTTATAGTTAATTTTAAGAGTTTTGTTTCTAATACAGTGAAACATGGTAAATTCAAATGTCCATAATTTGAAAACTTCTTTGGTTCAGAATACTGTCTCGGTCCCAAAAACTAGCATACATAATCGCTGTTGAGATAACATGGGTAATATGAATATGTACTATTACGGGTAGGCTAGTTGGAATTTTTCGAACATTAATGAATGACAACTCTGAGGGTTAAACAAGATCGGGTGCACACTCAAGAGGGGGGGGGGGGCTGAAGAAGCTACACATGAAGAAAAATAGTGGAGGATAAGTTATGGAGGATAATAAACTTTATATACCTATGGTTGTTGTATGTACATGAAAATATACGATGATATAAAAAATAATAGATTAAGAAAAAGACAGTCTAAAAAGATGTAGTCATTCTGTCAAAAAACAGAAATGGCCTAGAGGAGCTAACCAGACTAGACTGTTCATACAAAAAACAGAGAAAATGGGCCTAAAGATTAATGATTAATGGTGAGAAGACAAAATATATGCACTTCACGAAACAGCCAAATGAAATGAGGGAAATAGGATTGCTCAGGCCAATAAATGTATGTAGACTTGTAAGAAATTGTTGACTTCAAAGATTCTATCGCATAGAACGAAAATAAAAATATATTATTGTATAATTCGACCTGTATATGGTATTCAACCTGTTATATGGAGCTGAAACTTGGATTTTAAACACAAAAGAAGAAAACAAAATGATTGTTTTTGAAAACAAAATTTTAATAATGATATTTGGCCCTACAAAAGAAAATTAGAATGTAGAAAAAATCATAATAGGGAGATAAGGAATATGTATGTAATTTATGATGTAGTAGCACACGTGAAAGCAAGGAGAGGTGGGCAGGACACGCACTACGGGGAGAACGAGATTCACTATTAAAAGAAGCAAGCATAGGAAAGCCAGAAGGGAAACGACCATTTGGAAGGCCCAAGAAGCTGGGATTGTGTCTCCAAGGACGTTAGAGAAGTGAGCAGTGGAAGAGGCAGAAGATGGAGAGCAGTTGTTGGTGCGGCCAAATCCCACCTTGGGCATAAATGGCCATGGAAGTAAGTATAAAAGACAATTTACTTTTTTTTATTTTGCAAAGGCAAGGTAACAGACATAAAGTATATCCATAGCTATTTACCTTTATGTCCGCCAAAACTGCACACATCGCCTACTAAACACTGGTTCACAAGAGACCCATTTCACTATCACCGCTAAATAAATTTAAGTAGCTGCATTCCTAATTACTTATGGAGGGCTAACGGAAATATTTTCAGACCAGATATGAAAGTTGTAAACAGAGACAAATTCTAACTGCTGTCACAGCAACGATGTAATTAATGGCTTCAAAAGCATCGCAGAGAGTGACTCTTCGTGTTTAATATAGTAAGTAAAAGTGACAATGAATTAATGGCTAGTTAATGTGTCAGTTCATTCTGAAAGCTTCAAATTATCGACTGTCAAATCATTTCCCTCTTTCACTGCTGCTAGCAGACTCATGTGTTTTAGATTGTATTCTTTGTTTATTTTTCGGTTACGCCAATACGATAACGTTTATCGTGATGGTATGGCCTCTGGATCGTCTGAATTAACGTATAAATATGATAACAGTTATGTTGGCAATATGTGCTATTGTTTGTTTTGAAGAGAATGTATTGAAAAATAAGGGATATAAGACGTTTTCTTCAGACAATGCTAATGGTTAAAATCCCCTAGCACTTTTCAGTGTGGTATTGGGTAAAGACACATAGCACAAAGAAGGGTTAACTGCTGGTTTTTCATTCAATTCCCAAAGTCCCAACTCAAAGCTTGCTTTTCAAAGAGCTGGAAATAATTTTAATATGAGTTTTCTCTGTGTTTAAAATTTGAGAGAAGACCCATGGACACCCCACCCCCCTCCGAGTGTTTAGTATGCAACACATTAACCCAATGGCATAACAAAATTGCACAACCTGATCACACGGTAATTCCTACTTTTTGGCTCCTTTAGTGACTCGCAAAAACAGTTATACAGTGGCTTTCTTATTTTTTTATTTCTGCCTATAATTATTGTCTTTCTCCCTCAATTTTTGAGGAGGATGAAATTATAGAGAAATGGGTTGAAAACATTTTCTGATACTCTCGAAAGAATATAGCCAACAAAAAAAAAATACAGACCTTCCACCTAATAGAACCGATGAGATTTTTTAATATGAGGTTAGCGGCCTCTTTTAACCTTGCCTTTGCCTGTCCAAATAGACTACTTGCCTGTGCATGGAATGTATCCAGCAAAGCAAGGGGTGAGCCGGTACATTACGAAGGTGAACTGTACTAATAAAATGTTTGCGGCAGTGACCAGGATCCAAACCCATGACATCGCTGTCTTGGGCCCGAAGTCTGTGATGCTACCGACTGAGCCACCGACTCATAAAAAATTATTAACAACCCTAATGTTGAAGAGGTGAGAGAAACCATTGCAAGCTTACAAAACAATAAGGCTCCTGGAGAAGATCGAATCACAGCAGAGTTATTTAAGAGTGGACGGGATTTGTTGTTGACAAAAATTCACAAATGGATGTGTCAAATATAGGAGAGGAGGAGCTGGAATACATATATCGCATTTTGAAGAAAGGAAGTTTGTAAAAATTTTGTAAGAATAACATTGCTGAGTTAAGGGTAAAAGATATTCTCAATAATTTTGTTGAAAAGACAAAGCCAATATGTAGAGGAAATCATAGGAGAATATTAACGCAGCTTTAGAGTTGGCAGAAGTACCATTGATTGACCAAATTTTCATAATGTGGCAAGCCTTAGAAAAATGTTCCGAGTTTGACATTAACTTGCACACTTTATTTATCTATTATAATCAGGCTTTTGATAACATAGACAGAGAGGGATTTGAACTGAAGCTATTAAAGATGGGTGTTCCAAAGAAAACCACAACCCTTACTCAAATCAGCGTGGAAAATTAAAAAAAAGGAATGGTTTCATTCGGGGGAGCGAAAAGCAATGAGTTTGAAATAACCACAGGAATTATGCAAGGAGATGCCTTGTCCACTGTTTTGTTTAACCTGACTTTGCATGCAGCTATTTATGAAGTAGGTATTGAAGGAAGTTTTATGCATAGGATGAAACAATCGGGGGCAAATGCGGATGACATTGTCATCTCAGCTAGAAATGTAAATGTACAGAGGGAGACATTTTTGAATCTGAATGAAGATACCTCAAAGATGGGACTTTGAATAAACGAAAGCTAAACAAAATGTTTAAAGATATCATGGTCAGAAGAGGCAAAGAGAAGTTCCATTGGAAATAGGAAATTTAAAATTTCAAAATGTAACTTTACATATCTTGGGTCATCCATAAACAATAAAACAAAATAAGCAGTGAAATCCAAAACTGGATAATGAGAGGTAACAGGGTCTTTTTTGCTCACCAGAAACTTCTCAAATCTAGGTTGTTAAGCAGATAAAATAAATTAAAATTGAATAAGATCTTGGTCAGACCTGTTGTAACCTACCAATGCGGCTGGAACATGGAAACTGCTTAGCTCCGATGCTAATGACCTAAGAGTTTTTGAAGGAATAATATTAAGACGAATCATTGGTCCGGTGAGAAACGGGAACAATATAGAATAAGAAGTAATAAGGAGCTGGATGATCTAATCCATGAATAAGATATAGTTAGCGTGATAAATCAATGAGGTTAAGATGGCTCGGTCACAAAGTGAGAATGGGGAACGAAAGAATGACTTTAAAATTACTAGTTGGAAAAAAGCATGGAACAAGAAAGAGAGGTCGTCCAAGGAGAAGATGTTTGCAGGATGTTAATGAAGATTTACGAATTTTCATGAATTTGGAATTGGAAACAGAGAGCAAGAGAAAGAGAAGATTGGAGACCAATTGTGATGGAGGCCAAAGCTTGTCGTGGGCTGTAGTGCCAGGTATGGTAACAATTGCAGTTGCACAGAACACAATTATTGATCCCACAAGAGCAGTGATCCTCCAAAATATTGTCGAGCTAGTATCAATGTTTCAGGACAAAACAGTTCTGTCTAGGAATGCCAGAGCTCATGAGTAGAGGAACGGAAATATTCTGTACAAGTATGTCAGTGGATAGAAAAACAAATGATCTTATCCATCCAAAACATCTGTCTATTAGAACAGCTGATTCAAGTTGCTTTAAAAAATTAGATTTATATTAGATTTATAATGCTTATGTAGAATCAGTATTGAGGTATGTTATAATCTTATGGGTCAAGCTACCAGAGTCAAGTCAATACTCCGGTTACAAAAACGCATTATCCATATTATGACAAACTCTCATTTTCTTAGTTCATGCAAAAACCTTTTTCAAAATTTAAAGATTCGCACTATAACATGATTGTACATTTTGGGATCACTATTTCCTAAACAACTTGACATGCTATTCGTGGAATTTTGAGTTAAAAGTCATTTTTATATCGATTTTTCAAAAAGTCTGCACGACCCTCAAAAAATGGCCAGCGCTAAAGAGAATTTACATTAGCCCTTGGAGGGTTAATATACACATCATTTAACTACACATTTAACTGAAACATTGGTTTTTTTTGGCAACCATAGTCATAAATGAAAAAATAAAGATTTGAGTAAAGAAAATATGAACCTGTTTTCATGGACATGAGTACAGGTGCGCGGTTCATGCCATTACGCCAATCAGCAGCAGTAAGTGCCGCCACTGCAGCTGTCGTGTCCGGGTACAGGTCCTCTTGAAATTGGTCACTCTGAAAACAACATTTGTGTTAAGTGTACGTAATATCTGTTGCCAATTGACTCGTTTTAATTATCCAATGTCTAGCAAAGAGAAAAAATTCTCTGAAACATTGATCCTGTTTATAGCCCAAATCTAGATCTATTCAAGAATTGGTAGCCTTAGAAACATCTCCTTTCAGTATGGCAATCTACATGCAACATTTCAATAACGGTCAAAGTTGCTGTACATCGTGCAAAACAACGTTAACATCGTACAAGCGTTTGCCTCCAAATTTACTCCACACCTGAAGCACATTTTCCATGACCAATCACTTTGCTTCATTTACGTCCGTCAACTGGCAATGGACTTAATAGCAGTTCACTCCTTAGACCAAGAAATCTAATCACTGAACTAAATTCATTCTTGGCAACAACGACAAGACAATGTTACATTAGGATGGCAAATGACTAGAATCATAGAAGAAGAAGTAATTAACACAGCTTTAGTCTCAGATTTAAGATTTAAAACATCTTGCTTGGTCACAACGAGAGCTTGATGAGAGCTTAATTTATGGACAAGCTCTGTATAATGACAAGAATTACATATATCACTAGAGGCAATATCCTAGGATAAGGATACCTTTCTCGGCACGATCATGGAAACAGGCTCACACATTCCTCTTGTGGCATGAAGCTTGTAGAATCTGAAGATCTCACATTGGCTCACGTCACACCCTCTCTTCGGCATGAATCCTAATCCTCTCTGTAAAATCATAAACAAATATATTTTACTGGACATTTGCAGTATACAGTAATTCAATGTAATTATACTCAGTCTAAGGAGTTTTATACAAAGGAGTTCATCAAATAAAAGGGTGTATTTAAGTATCACATTAACATTTATGAGTGAAAGTGTTGTGCTACCACAGAGAAGTGTGAGGTACAGAGGAAACATTCAATGGTGGACTTAAATGGTGTCTACCACCAGTCACTGGTGTCTAAGGTAAAGTCCAACTTTGCCAACAAGTACTTGACACCAAGGAGCTGGACGAGTTAGGCAAAATACAAAGCTTTGTTGTACATAATGCCTGAACTCAATAATTACCAAAAATTCCTAAGCTGGTCATGGTCGTTATATATCTAAGTTCCATTATCTAAATTATCCCCAAACAAGTGTGCAAAGCCATTAAAATCTACCTTTAAAATAGTATGAATTTTGCAATACAGTACACTGGGTTATCTGAGCTCTTTTAGGGCTAAATAAAAATATTTTAATTTTTAATTTTTGGTCAGGTAACAATAATGGTGAAATTAAGAACGCTTTTCTTGAAAGTAAAGAAAAAATGGTAATTAGTTTATGTGATTTGTTAAAATTAAAACTTGAAATAATCATTACGAGTATTTTTTATGATCTGCAATAACCTAGAAAATGAAAATCAAACAGTCTTAGGTTTTGCCACCAACTATTGGCAATACAAGCTAGACGAGTTGTCTGCGAAATGTAATAGCAGTGGCATTTCTGCTTGGGCTACCAGCTGGCATCACCATCTTGGTCAGTCTTTGTCATTGTGATGTTTTGATATTGACATGACTGGTCAAGTATAGCTCAAACAAATAGTAATGTTATACTTTATAAAAGAGAAATATCCAAATATTGTGTTTGATTTTATAGTCTACTGTAGTGTGTTGGCTTTGCATATTTTTAATAATACTGCATTTAAAGTTTTTCAAGCCAACTTAAGAAATTGTTGAGCATGTTTGAGTTGTTGTTTTCATTAATGACACTACCTTTATTCAAAAACATGTTTGAATGATAATACCTATTGATCATTTTAATTTGCTACAAACTAACCAATATATAAGTATTTCATTTCCTAATGTAGTACCATACCCTCTAATCTCATATAACTGATATAAGAGACCTCTGTGTTATTCGAGAATCACGGTAACCGAAGTAGTCTTGGTCCCAACGACCTTGGTTAATCGAGAGTACGATTTTCACTTTTTGGCTCAAGTCTCTTTCAGCTTAGATATAAAAGATAATTTTGATAAGGTTCTGTGTGAATTAGGTAAATGGTTGTCAATTATAATTGCCATATAAAGAGGTACAGTTTAAAATTTTGTGTGCAAATGTTTGGGAGATTAACAATTTTTGGTTATGATTTCTTGTTTATGAGTTATGGTTTATGACTGTGATTTAAACTTTGAAGATATACATTTTATATGCTGGGATATTACAGACTGTATATTCCCACCCTTAAGATTCTTTGGTGGCGTCCTACCTTTTGTAATGAAAAGTGTGGTTTGCTGAAGCCAATAATAATAGAATATCTGACTACATATGAGCTACAATTGAATGCTTTACAGATTATAAAGCATAGTATTTTAGGATATTTTTTTATGAAAGCTGATCTGATAACTAATATTTTTGGAATTCATTAATTTCCTGTTTTAACACTTGAAACTTCAGTTCAAATAAATTAAATAACGTTGTTAGTGACTTTGGAACAGTCACTTTCGTTTGGATAGACGTACCTCTACTAGAGGGGTTTCCAACCTTTTTAACTCAAGTGCCCACATTGTAAATTTTTGGAGGAAAGGCCGGACCGTTAATTTCAGTGCAGGAAGGTAGCTTCCTTCCAAATAACCAATAAAGAGGTAGTTTTCTAATTAAGAGCTCATTTGAGGTTTTTGAAATTTGCTTGCTGGTATTTTAGTTAATTATAAATAACTTTTTGACTAATTAAAATGCATTATGTTTTTGTGCGAATAATGCTGAGACCAAACAAAAGAATTGACCTACCCAACATATTTAAAATTCTTCGTCATATTATTTTATAATTTGTCAAAACGTAAGTAGGCTTATGATTATTCAAGTTCTTAAAAAGGGTAATACAAATTACAAATTACTACCCACCATGAAAAAACAAATTACTTGTACAGTAGCCTATATTTACTGTAGTATTAATTTTTCTTTAATGTGAAATTTTAAGTAGGGTGGATGAAAACACAGGACATAAAACCAAATCTTTTTTATTTACATACTACCGGTACTAAGTTAAGTTATTTGAGCCATTAATTGTAATGGTGATAAGAAAACTTGATGAGTTTACAAGTAGTGTAAGGCTAAAATGAGAATTTTGCATGTTCCACTTCAAGCCAAAGGTCAGCCCAATCAGGGTTAAAATTTGTTATCCTGATCACTAGGATTGATTTCAAAGGTTTATCGAACTCAGGATATTTGCCTCTTATAAAAAAGAAAAAGAAAAAAAATTAGAGAAGTAGAGAAGTGTATTATACACATATTAAACAGGGTGTCCAGCCAACCTGGGCACCAAGAATTGACCTGAATTTGGTATGGACCAGGGGTTACAATGATCACCTAATTCATAGACACGTTCCATTAGACACGTTCCATTGGTTCTCTTTTAATAACAAAAGTAAGTTGCGATCACTGGAGATCATCACAATAAGTAATATTGTGAAGATCCTACAAGAGAAATTCACAGTGAAGTTCCGATCGCAAGAGACAGATCACAGTATTACCAAGCTCGCAAAATTTGGTTGCCGTGACCATGAGTGACGATCGTGGTTTAGCCGAGACCGCATGATATGCTCACAAGTGTTGCTACGATCGCAAGTGACGGTACGGTATTGCTGAGACCACAAAATATGCTCACGAGTACTGCCATAATGACGGGAGATGATCACAATCTCAATAGACGCTCACAAGTGTTGTCGCAACGATGAGTGACAATCATGGACGAATATTTTCATGAATGCTGCTACAACTTTGACGATCATTGGTGCATACCACATAAAAATAATTATTTCTCACTGGCCTTTGTAGGCCCGATAAAATCTGTTCCTGGCCGGATGTGGGACGCGAACTATAGGTTGGAGACCCTTGCTTTACTATATAAGCACAACTTTAAAAACATGGACAAAATCTTTAATTAAAAAAAAATTTGCAGGAAAGTTGTAATCTTAATGGAGGTGCATGTGTCTATTTACTAGGTTAAGAGTATACTGAGTAACAACAGAATATCAACCACTCAGACCAACCTGTGGGGAGCCTGAGATGTACTGACTCAGGAAGTGGATGTAAGGCGCCTGATCCACGATCTCATAGTACCTGATGTTACCATCGCCCTGAAACAACATACATAAATTAATATATAGGAGAGTTGGACAAAACGGGACGGTTGGAAAAAACGGGATAAATACAAAAGTACATTTTGGACGTTCTACCGATACTAGTGCTACGATCTAGCGGGAAAGCCTAGGTTTTAGCTCATAGCCGCCATCTTGGCATTCTCAGTTGTACACGGAAGGCCAGCATTCAGTTTGCTTGAGTTATGATGTTTCAAAGTTTTGTACTGAGTTTTCGGCCAAAATCGTTGCTTTTTGATTGACAATCTTCTTGATAAGAGCTTGTGCGTTTCCTGGTGAAGCCTGGGGGTAGGGTTGAAGCCCCAACAAAACCGGTTCAGAGCAACTCTAACCACCTACCCCTAGGCTTCACCAGGAATCGCACAAGCTATATAGTGTCTGCGTGTGAAGGAATACAATGTTGGTAGTATTATGTTCTGTTTGCTGTTTATTTCTGAATATTTGTATGTGATCACCTTGTAGTTTTGCTGCTTAGTTCTGGCAGCAGCCGTATTTGATGAAGATCAAGAAAAATCAACTTTGTTTGGTTTTTAAACGATAACAAATTATTTTTAAGAATATTTTTTTAAGATTTGATGATAAAAATATAACGTAGACATTCCAATTCCTATCCTATACTTTAATATCCATGGTTGGATAAAACGGGAACTGTAAGCTTTTGTGACATTTTTTTTTACATGTTTAAGTTGAGTTAAGTGTAAAAACAGTTGTTTTGTTTTGTTCATTAATAAATGTTTAAGGTTATATGTCATGTGTGCAATTTCTTTAACAAACGTTCATGAAAAAACATAAATTAAGAATGGTATCCCGTTTTGTCCAACTCTCCCCTATATGTAAACATTTGTCAAAACTGTATTTGGCTTCTGAGGCATTACAAAAGTCCTGACCTTGTTATCGTCCTTGTTACGATAAGTTAATAGGTACTACCCTGTGGGGAATCTGTAATTAAAGCTAATAGGAATCACAAACTTTTTAGAAAACCGTAAGAGGCACACCTAATTGTAAACCTTTGGATATTAGAAGTATTACTCCATCTTAAAATTAAATTAAGTGATACAATTTTGATACATAGCCACAACCCTCAAAATAAAAATAAGTTAGACCTTCAAAGATGTAGACTCTCAAACCCCATGAAATACCATACCTACTTAGGATTAAAATGTTCGACAAGCTGCCGGACGTATGCCAAAACTTGCCTGTATTTGTCTTCTTGTAAAAAGCTACAAAAATAGCTTTTGAAAATAATTTGTACAATGGTAGAGAATACTTCAATACTAGCCCACATGAAACTGATTTTATGTCATTTAAGCTATATGTTGTGTATGGTATTGTAAATGTTTGTTCAAAGTAGGCCTACATATCATATGTGTTTTACTTTTTCTGATCGTTAGGCCCTAAGATTTGTACACATTGGTTTATTCAAAGCCTATTGTTTGTATGACTTATCGATGTTATTTTTTGTGACAATGTCCATTGCTAATCTATAATTAGCTGAATGACTGAATGAATGCCTTATTGAACTCTTGAGCTGTATCAAGAAGTTCATTTTAGTACAGGGGTTCATTCTACAGATGGGTGTTATTTAACGTAATAGGATAAAAAAAATACTATTACTGAAAAATATCCTAGTACTTTGATAATAAGTTACTGAGAATACCCAATTATTTTTGTAACGTCATAGGAGCAAGTGGTATAACGCTAGTGAGTCGGTGGCTCAGTCGGTAGTGTCGCGGACTTTGGGCCCAAGGCAGTGATGTCGTGGGTTCGGATCCTGGTCACTGCCGATAAAATTTCATCAGTACAGTTCACCTTTGTACTGTACCGGCTCACTCCTTGCTTTGCTGTAAACGATCCACGCGCGGGCGCTTAGTCTATGTCATCCAATTAATTTATAGTAAAAAGAAGTAAAATAACAAAAGATAACCCCTTGATGGCAAGAGAACGGCCTATTAAAACGTACTAGAAGGGGAAGTAATAGGTGTCAAAAATAATAGTATTTTTTCACCTATTACTGAAAAGCTAAAGAACGTTCCTGACTATTACCGCAAAGTAACGGTATTTCCCATCTCTAGTTCATCCTAAGCTTGGTTACCACAGATGTTGCAAATACTGCATGACAGAAGTAACAGCTGGTCAAAATCACAAGCGGCTGAAATAAGCAGCCTTGTTTGACTTGATAATTAAGTCTTATTTTGAACGGTGAATAAATTTTAAAAAGCTTAAAATTTCATCCTTGTTGTTGTCACCTTAGTTATAATTGACTGTAAACCATAATCATTATTCACTAAAGGTTAAGTGGTAGAGAGGACTTACAAGTCCTAACTTCGCCTCTTAAATAAAGACATTTTTCATTTCACTATTCAACAACTGTACATCCACGTACTTCTTTCATAACTGTTATAACCCTACTAATATTATAAGTAAGAAAGTTTGGATGGATTTTTGTGACAAGTAAGCTTGAAAACTAAACCTACAGGGTTGAAATTTAGTATGATGATAGCTCACATTCCCGGTCAATGCATAGACTTATTCTTATCTCAAAAATCCTTTCAGGCTCCGCCCCAGTGGCCCTGGAGTTTCCCATGTTAACCTTATGACTATTCATATTTAAAAGGAATTCAAGAATTTTGTCAGCTGTTTTAACTGCACAAGTTGGTTCTATGACATTAAATAGTTTAAAAAGTAATAAGGTTTACCAATACAGTTCAGCACTATTATTTTTGCATTTATGACAACAGCTAATTTGAACCAACTAGCAATAAAAAGCTGTGGTACACAATGAGAACTTTACTTTTTTATGTTTTAGGTGCAATTGTAGATCACTATGGCTATGGTAGATGAGCTATACTATATCATACCGTATCGATTACAAGAACCTAATTTTCTTAAACCGTGTCCTCTCCCATAACTGCAATAAGCATTTTATACTTATATGCCAACCCTGTAGGAAGGACCGGTACTCTGCTAGTAAAATATACAAGGGAAAAGCTATGCAGGGCGCGGCAGAATGGACTAAACAGTTTGACTCCGATAGTAATCCAACAGTGTAAAAGGTACGTAGGTCTTGTTATCATCGGCCAATCAAACCCTATCACTCGCTATCATGGTTTGGACTAGACAACTTCGAGTAACAACTTATTGGTAGTAATTTTTCTCTCTGGAACGCAAACAAATACAATTGTGTATTGTAAAAGTTGGAAGTAGAAGCACTCTTTAACTGAGAAACACGGACAACATATGACAGTGAGAACACCAGAAAATGTGTTAGCACTTGGAACTAATTTGTGAAATAAGAAACTGTTTACAATAAGCGATTGGCATTTTAGTTTTTTAATTTGCAAACACAGCTATTCAACTTCTATGGTTATTTAACCTCTTGACTCCCGAGTAAGCTAGGTCATGCTACTTTCCCCAGCCCGGGTATGTTTTGCTAATTTACAGACCTTTTTTTAAAAAATTGTAAAAAATTAAAACACAAGATAAAATATATAAATATATATGTTTTTTTTTCAGAACAAACTGAAGAGATATAAAATAACAAACTTAATTTATAAAATATTGAATAAAAAAAATTTTAGGTAAAAAAAAACAAAATTTTTAAATTTTTTACAAAATTTTTCAAACTAAACTATCATAAAAATTATTTTATTCAAATAAAACTCTTACTCATTATATACATTTTGTAGAGAATTTATTTCCCTACATAGAAACATATAATACATGTACTATAAATAGTTATTGTGTCATCATGTGAAATATAATCACCACTTACCCGGGAATCAGGTTTTGAGGTTATACAGGCCTAACCCTTCATCACCATCACTGCACTGAACATTAATATTGTCATCGAAATCATCGTAATAATCCACTCCCGATATATCACACAACCTTCATTATCTAAGTACTAACTAATTTCATTGTCTTGAAGAGAACACGACGTTCCGACACGATTATTCATTGTTTTCAAACAAACTAGCAACATACGTAATTGCACAGCACACAAAAAAACGTCAGCTGAGTTCTAACTTCTAAACATCGCAGAAGTGATGCATGTCAAGCTAGCGCAAAACAAAATTTACCATGAGAATCAGCGTTTTTCCCCAAATGGAATGGTGCCAAACATGGCATATTATTCTTCTTCCTGCAGTCGTAGTTAGCGCGGCAAATTCAAACTGCACGCGGACGCGTATACGCACCCGTGGGTTCCCAGTTGGGCTACTGCACGGACGCGTCGGATTCAAGAGGTTAATTAATATCTGACCAGATGTTTTATTTAATTTCTTTGACTTGATGCTGGACTTGGATGCTGTCTTGTAATTTTGTCCTTATTAAAAACAGTATAGTTTCTTTTGATCTTTATATTTTCATACAAATAAGGGAAATATAACAACAGCATAACCTCAATGTTGATCTGCCCAAACCATGATAGCGAATAAAACGGTATGAGTACTCGATGCCAACAAAACCAATAGTGTCCGCCTATGACACTGTCAGAGTACTACACATAAAAAAATAATAATACCCCTGCCGCAGCAAACCTGCAGACTAAGCGAATTCCCATTTGCTTGATTGGATTTACACTAAAATTTCTCCTTAAAAATATCACAATTAGTCCCTACTAGCTGTGTACCCGTTCTACGCACGGGGATCTTATAATATTCAGTTGAAACCTTCTTATATAACGAACAGCAGTTGGTTTGCATATTTTAAGATATGCTGGCCAAACTATTATACATAGCTTCATTTTATGTTGTTTTTTGTTGTTCCGGATCGGTATGACAATCAATAAAAGGTTAAATTACCTCTGTGTCTGCCGGTCGATCCTATAACGGTAGGCTTACTTTTATTTTTACTATCTGATCTCGTTTGCATGGCTCAATCACGTCCTGGTTGAAGTTTGTTCGCTACGCTCACTCACCTGTATGTTGGAGCTCGTTCGCTGCGCTCACTTTCCTTCAGGTTAGCTCGTTCGCTACGCTCACTTGCCTTCAGGTTAGCTCGTTCGCTACGCTCACTCGCCTCCAGGTTGCAAATTAGCTGTTGTCATAAATGTAAAAGAAATAATAGTGCTAGTGCTGCACCCTGTTGGTAATCCTTGTAACTTTAATGCTATTGAACATCACAGAACAGAACCAACTTGTTTAATTGAAACAGCTGTTAAGATTCAATAATTTCATTTCTCATAAGGTTAACATGGGCTTCCAGAAATTCCACGTCAAAAATCGACAAAAACTTGATTTTCAAGGGTTTACTGTTAAATATCTAACTGTCTCATATTCGATGAAATACGTCTAAAACCATCTCATATATGTATAGTATTTGGAAAATAAGTTTCAGGCGGGACAGTGCTATAGTTATTGAGGAGTAGTTGTAATAAAGTGCGTATTTTAGCGTTACCAAGAGAATGACAGATAGACAGACAGACAGACAGACAGACAGACAGACAGAAATTGAGATAAGGTTTGATTCGGTTTCTCTGACCTATGAAATGTAAAAATAACCAAAAAGTTCATTATTCTAAGCAATGTACAGACAAAACTCTAATTTTATTTATATAGATTTAACATTTAAATAGCATTAGTTTATCAAGTACTTAGTTTTGCTGCAACAGGGAGTCTTTAAAAGTGTTTTTGCGAAATAGTTTAGTATGAAATACATGCATTTTCCAAATTTAATAAAAAAAATGTTTATAAACAAGCAAACTACAACAGTTTACTCATTCTTCATAAGCATAACATAGGCATTTTAAATTAAAATTTTTTTTTATTAGGCGCATAAAAATGCTTTAATATACAAAATAGTTTGGAAAGAAATTAAAAATATTATGTTTATAGGGTCAAAAATGTTCGAATACATGTAGGTTTACAAGTTTCATCAAAACCGGATCATTTTTGCTCGAGTTATCTTGCTAACGGACACACATGTATAAATATAAATAAATTATATACAGTATATGAATTTTAACAGACTGTGTTTTTGGCCTCTAGGGATCTCAAAACGAAAAAGTATCAGTCCCGGGTCCAGTTCTTATAGGAAATTTGCTAATAAAACCGATTCAATTAACTGACATATTCTAGAGGGTCTCAACCTCTAATAAACAATGGATACTACAGATTATGACCCATACAGACAACCTACCTTGCCGGCCAGAAACAGAATGTTGGTGTCTGGGTCGTAGTAAGGAAAGATAACACCGGACGATGAGTCGATGGTTTCCTCATGAAGAAGATGGAGGTTTTCATCATTCCAGACGGAGACTTGCCTGTCAGAGTGTCGAGAGAAGCCTGTAGTCACCACTCGTCCTGTGCCTCCTAGATAGGCTACTTTGCTAGACCTGGTACCAGCATGGCACGTACCTTCCTATAGAAACATAACAAAAGATTGAGATTTTATGAAAGACCTTCATTTGCTGTTAAAAATTGTTTAAACCATATCCTTATTATAATCATATGGAAACTTCAACATGTTTAAAGCCAATTTTAAGACTTTGTAACATGGAAATTTATTTTCTCAAGTAATTTTACTAACTTTCACAAGGGTACCAAAATAAGCAAATGTAAGTGATATCGCGATTTTAATATTTGAGCAAATTGATGACACTGTTTGAAGGTACTTGGTACTTCTTAGACAATATATTGAAAAAGAAAAACTTTACTACTGGGTTGCCTTGGAAATACAATTTTACTTTACAAATTTAAGATTGCCCGCTTATGCTTGCAGTTTTCAATTTACATTATTATTTCAATCACATGAAATTTAGTAGCAGTAAACCCGTCGTAGTTGATGTGAGCCACCTACAGATTGCGCTTAGCTATTAAATTCTGTCGAGTACACATACCTTTTTACCAAGTCAAACTTCGGGAATTACTTATGGTGAGCTATAGCAACTGTTATGACCCATCAACCTGGTCAGCAACAAAAAAAAAAAGGTATAAAATAGAATTTTAGACGCTAGTGCATTCTGTGACTGGCTCACACAACTACATTCTTCTATAGTAAAAAAATTGGCGACAGCTGGTCTATATAGATATGATGTCTACTTCAGTATCCAATATTCAATGGTAGCAGCTTATAAGGTAAGATATTAATGTGAGTGGCATCATTGACATCAGTTGTAGTTTGTTGCTTGACACTGGGTTAACAGTGTTATGCCTTCTTATACTGTATTTTCTTATCAGGAAGGCGAAGGCTAAACTCCCCAGATGCTTCATACACATGTGTAGGATTATTGCGCAACTCTAGGCCACAGCACTGTCACAAAGGTTAAAAATCATTGGTGATTGGCAGTATTTGATCCCAGGACCTTATACCTCGGCCAATTGGTCTTCATTAGTTTTATGGCTTAAAAATGAAATTGTACTTAGATAGAGCCTTCGTTGTGCATACAAATTAAGAGTTTCTCTTTGAAGAGTTCATTCTTAAGTTAAATTATATTTTAACAATTCATGTTGCCGTCTAAAAACAAAAAAAAAGGCAAATCGCTCAATTAAGTACCTCAACACTCATGGAGCAAAGCACAGTTCATGAAACTTGACAGGAGAAAACATTGAACTAAAAGCACAGTACGATTTGACAACTACCGATTAACCGAGATATATTAGGGTTGAGGAATCCCGGATATGTAGAATCCCGGTTTATCCGCAGAATAATATTGAACAGAAAAGGCTATTACAATCCAAAACCGTATTAAACACTAGTAATTAACATATTTACATTGCATTAAAACATACCTGAATATTGTATTTGACATTCACAATGTCACAACGAATAACACACATATTTTAACACAATGATACATGGAGACTTAAATACAAAGAAGATAAACATAGTCTTTAGGATCAATAACAAAATATTTACAGGACACAAACTACTGTCAATTACTTTTTTTTATAATCTTTAACAATTTTCTGTTCCTTCACAGAGAATCATGTATTTTTTATTCTACTTTCATTTTTCATAGCACAATTTTGTCAGCAATTGGAGCACTTTATTGCGAATGTATAGAAAGGAGTCTACGACCTTGAATATAGTTACACCTTTGACCTTTGATTTAAAGTTTGTTTATATCCTACTGCGCTTTCCGAGAAAAAACTCCCACAGTTTCAAAACCCTTAATCTACAGTTTGATATAAAACATCGAATTGTGTTGAGAAATAGGACCGTCTTCATCTGCATTTAGTTTTACCTGTTTTCCCGGGAACTTGTCCCGGTTAACCCTTTCAGTGCTAGGCCAATAATTTATATTTCGTAAGACTTTTTTGTTTGCCTTTTAATTCCAATACCTGTTGTTTAATTTTAACTGTAATGTTGTCACTATTTTATTAATTAGGCTAAGTTTGAATAATAAGACAACAAGAAAATATATAACAAAGATAAATCCCGGTATTTGTAGTAAACATTAAATAAAACTTAGTTTTTGTTTTGATTTTCCTTGTTTTCCTATAAATTTTTATGTTCTGATAGCTTTGTTTGAAACCAAAATCTCATAAAATCAAAAGACATATAGTTTACAATATAATATTGAATTTAACTTTGATTTAGTTGAACGAGGTTATCGTAATATAGCCATTTTAGGGAAACTAATGTTTTGCAGCAAAGTCTCAGGAACACATTTATGATCACTGTTGTGTTTCAACTAAAAAATATCATCTAAATAGTCTGTGACTAACTGGTGCTGCTACCTAGTAACGCATTGAACAACCATCTGTAGCGCTATCTGTTCGCAATCGGTGGCGTCAGCTTAAATACCGGTTTTTGACTCCTCAGTCTTCAAGCACAGATAGCCGAGAAGGCTAGGGCGTGTGTCACTTGGCTAGTGGCATTCGTCTGCTCGGGTTCGAATCCCGTCCTGTGTGGCAAATAATTGGTGACCTGCGTGTTTGTAGCGATATACTACAACCACTGGGGCATAGTGAGGTGTTCATAATCCTTGGTTTAGACATACACCTCGAAATCATTGGATTGGACGAATCTTTTAGCTAAGTGGTTGTTAGTGTATCCCATGAACATGCAGGTCACCAATGGCCCTTTTGCTACTTTTTGTTAAAATAACCTTCCTCTCTATATCCCTTAGAGATTTTTTAAAACAAGATATATCGTTTCATAGCACTGAAAGGGTTAAGCCACAACACAGTTAATCCGACTACTCAAGTCGGTACTAATGGGGAGTTAGTGGAGAAAGAATTAGTTTATTGTAGAAAGTAGAGGTAGGCAGGAAGGGGTATCATTGAGTGGACATTAGATTTGTCCACTATCACTCAATTATATCTGTTGTGTACAGTATAACATTGCCACTGATACACATCCTTGCACTTAAATTCTACCTTGAGGTCACGTTACACATACGTACAAAATGAAGGAGATTAAATATCCTGGTATTAATGAATTGTGTAAGTTCAATTACAGTACCGGTAAACTGAATAGGTTTCTGTTGAAATAAGCACTGAATAGTAGGACTACGACATTGTAAAATATACCTCTATTTAGCCTACTGTCTAAGATATTTGAACTACAGTAAAGGCCCTCTAGTCAAGCATCCGATGGTCCTGCATTTTCAATAATCTGGTATACATCTAAAGGTCTGAAAAATATGTGTTTTTTAGGCCATTATAGCGTATTCAGCAAAGCTGAGAGCGATCCGCAGATGTTAGGCGCAAACAAAAGATGGCAGTTACACTCAAAGGAGTTTGGAGGTATTTTACCTTCAAACACTCTATATTTAGGGGGTTTTCTGCTAGTCTAGAAATGACGGCTGTTTTATAATACATCCGATTACCTGGAATTTTCAATAGTCTAGCACTGCCAAAGTCGCGTCAGATTAGCGAGCGTTTTCAGTATCTCTCTCCCCATCCTTAAACTTCCTCGGTCATAACAGTATTTACAAATGTATTAGCACATACAGGGTGGCCGACGGGAACCCAACGTTTAAACAAATAGTACATACGTGAAAGTTATTGTCGCGAGGTGAGGGGGTGTCATTCATTGATGTATATTATGCAGTTTTACTAGCCATTGAACATTGGACGGTAGACACTGAATGTTTGCCTATAATGAGTATGCGAGAATTGGAGAGCCTGTCACGTTAGTGCAGTGACTTTTTTAAGTTTCCTTTAATCTTAGAAGCCATGATATAGTTTCCAGCCAAAAAAACTATTCTCAGATTGATTAACAATCTGAAAAAATGGGATCCATCCTAAGAAAGGAGCTGCTTGGCCAAAAAATAAGTGTTATAAAGCTGAAGATGTTGGAACACTGTGATAAGCTTTGATTTGATATATTTCCGTGATATTCTGTAGGCGGTCACCAGATTTGAGCGTAGGCCTACATGTATCTTTTATTTGGGGCGCTCTCAAATTTCACGTCTACACTCACAAATCCCAAACCCAACTATCCAAGAAATGTGACAATTTGTAGTGGCCGTCAAATACCTGTGTAAAGGAAGAATTTAAGAAAATAAATGAAACTTTCATGAATGAAAATGGACTCTACCTGACTGACATTGATTTTATAAGTAGGGTATCTGACAGCTTATTTCTTGAATGTCAAGATTTTACAAACATTATAATGTAATTTAAGTTGCAATTGACACAAAAACAACTGAGTTAAAAAAAAAAAACTTATAAAAAAACTGATTTTAAAAAACTTGCGGTTTTTTCTTTTTATTCTAATTTTTTTTAGTAGTTATCTGTTTCTTGTGTCAGAGTTGACTCTTACCAAATAAAGCAAGCCTGACATCCCCACAAGAAACCTATAATCTAAAATTACGTTTTTAATGATGTGAAAACTAATAAAGCGAGGTTATGATAGATGGAATATTCTAGGCCTACACACTTACGATTTATTAAGTTTAGCAACGCACATATAAAGTAATTATCATGGCAGTTCTAGATTTAGATGTACTGCCGCGATAATTGTAAGAACATTTTTTGCTGGTCTTTAAATGGCATGAAAAATTAAGTATTGTAAATTTAAGGGATATAAGAAGCATGGGTTGTTTAAGCCAAGCGCAAGAATGGACAACACACCATTAACTTGGTGACAAAGTTACTCTATACTTCGTAGACATCCAGTTTTAAACAAAACTTACGCTTATGATAAAGCCAGTCCTCGGGTCGATGATTCTTAGCTTCTTGTCCTTGCAGGTTGTGGCAAGCCTTGATCCGTCCCTGTTGAACGACATGGAGTAGATAACATCGGGGTGGCAATCTATCACGTTCATAGCTTCTCCCTTGCCTACGTCCCACAGGATCAACTAAAACAAACAGTATTTCAAAATGTGTAAAGAATTCGAAAGCAGTATTGTTACTGTTACCTTATTACCTCCTCCTTGGCTTGATACCAGCATAAGCTGGTTAGGCTGCGTCAACTATTTACAATTATAAAAGTTACAAGGCAAAGTTAACCTCTACCCTACCATCCAAAGACTATTTTTAGGTTACCTTGATTAGCTGTAAAGATCGGATTAGTTGGTGTGTGAGAGAGATGCGAGAAAGGCACCCAACAACACTGAGATTCACGCCGATTTTTAAAAATATCTTTAGGTTTTAACCCTGAATTGTTTCACCATTACAGGCTAGGTGTAAAGGGGGGTTGTGGCATTATCACTTGGATAAAATCCACTGGTGATTGGCGGGATTTGATCCCGAGACCTTGGAGACTTAAGTCCCGTGCTCCAACTAGACCAGCCGTTCCCCAGAGATTCACACCAATAGATGCTAGAGTTAATTAATCAATCCAACAACAATTAATTGCTGATACGGCTCAACATAAAACAAAAACCACTGCTGAAGAGATACATAGCAAAAGGCATCTAGAGGTATGCCAGAGAAAGCTGTTGTTAAACAATTCCCACGGTTTCGTTAATCACATGGCTAATACAGCTAGTCAACCAACCTAAAAAGGGTTAGTAATTTTCCAGAAACTCATTTAGAATATGTGCTACTTTATAGTCATGCACAAACTACGCTGCGGTTCCAAATTGGCCTCTGATCTAAGGTATTATTTGACCGGTGCGGTGGTTACCTTAGGGAGCCCTACAGCGAGAGGAATTTTTATACTATGAATACAAATAAAACAATACAATATTGTGGTGTATCTAAAACTTTATGTTAACTTGATGCCTAATTTCACACAAATCAGTAAACGTTTACATATTTTTATTTGGAACAAGCATGGGGATTAAATACGATTGGTAAATGATGGATGACGATTTGGTAAATGATGGTCATGATTTAATACTTACAAGATGGTCGAAGCCCGCGCTGACTAGCACATTCTCCGCAGTCGGGTGAAATTCTACATAGCCAACCCTACGTTTGTGACCGTGAAGGTCTATCAGCCACTCTGTGAGGTTAGCCGTAAGTCCTCCGTCAGGGATGTACCACAGCTTGACCGTACAATCGTCACTACATGACGCAATTATGTTGTCATTGAACGGATTCCACTTGATGTCGAGCACCGGGCCCTTGTGGCCTGTCACCTTGGATGCATTCAGGTCCAACCGTCCTGTCTGGAAAATAAATAGAATGTAACAACAAATACAAGGGGAAGATCAAGTTGAACTGTCCAGTATTGAAACTAACTATTATACAAATAGCAGAATACAAATGTAAGAAAAAAATGGGAAATGATACAGGAGCATTGGGTGGACTTTACCATCTTCTGTTCAAGTCCAACTGTCCTAAATGACACAATACAGATGGAAAGAAAAATGGGAAGTGAAAATAGGAACATTGGATAGACTTTAGCGCAGACTAATACCTTTGACTATTAATACAACAACTAGACATTCCATCCCCATGTTAAAGTTGTAGCCCGGTTTTTAATAAAATTTGTCTTAGTTGATGTGAGCCACCTACAGATTTGCAGATTTACAGATTGCGCTGATCTAATTTACTGATTTCTGCCGATTACATGATGGTTTTTACCAAGTCAAACTGATGGAATGACTTATTATGAGCTTTAGCAACTGTTGTGACCCAGCAACTATGTCAGTAACGTAAAATAAGGTACAAAATAGAGTTTTAGACACTAGCGCAATCTGTGACTGGCTCACACAACTACATTCTTTTTTAGTAAAAAATTGGCGACATCTGATCCATGTAGATGGGTTGTCTTCTTCTGTATCTAATATAAAGATTTTTTTTTACTTGTGCAATAATTGAAACTATTTCCAAAATCTTTACTTACATCCTTTTTGTTAATTGAAAAGCCAGCTGAGTTAATTTTGTAAGAATACTCAGTTCCAAACTTATTACAATTAAAATCAAAGTAATGTCAACTAAATTAACAACAATGACCAAAAAAAAAAGAAGAGATCTCATGGGTTTAAGTTCAGACAGATTGTTAACACGTTCGCTACTGCAATAGTATGAAATTTTTCATTCACATAGACCAGCGATGCACATATGCGACAGCCAGTCCCCATAGACCCATAGACTGCCGTCGCATATTTGCGGGGTTCTAACGTTATTAAAATGCTTATATCTTTGTAACGGTCTATTTCAAGGCACTGAATTCCCTGCAGTGGTCTACAGAGATGTCTGACGCACAACTGCGTCGCTTGGTCTGTGGATATGATGATTGGTGACGTCATATAATAGTTGGAAAAACTGGTCTTTACTTTTCTGTATCACTGTATGTATGTATGCAGTATGTATGCTGCATTATCCTATGTAGCTTTTATATTTGTTCAGTTATAAACTGTTCTTGAATAATCTGTTTTTTTTTTTACTTACTTTCACCTCAAAAGACAAACAAAAATGAACTGTCACATATATGCGGCGTTTGGGCTATTTCAAGAAAACTATGATAATTTTTACTATTCTCTTCGCTGTAGACCGGGCGTCGCAAATATGCAACATTTACAAAAGGTTATAAAAATACTAAAAAACAAGAATGAATTATTTACAAACACGATTGCAGCGTATTACAATGTAAATGATCACTGTTTTACAGGTTTTCACCTGTGGTCTGCGTGTACTATTATCAAGTGACAGCCGGTCTATGTGTAAGTAAGATTCAAATGTATACCTCGGACTGTAGAAATGACCGCGGCGTTCCATATATGCAACGCTCAGTAGTCAACGTGTTAATGGCTTAAAATTTGTCCTAAGATGTTCCTTTGTAAATAAAGGTTTTTTATACCGGTACATTTACCTTTAAAAAAGTGAGATACCCCTAATAATGTTTTGTTCAAAATATAGACAAAACCTTGTAATCCAAACAGATAGATCAAACTTTGTACTACTATAAAAACCCAAGACACTGTTAATCCATTCACTGATTCAATTTAAAGCTGATAAAATTCAGCACTTTAAACATTAATTAAGTGTTTTCTTCGTCCATCCTTACATTTAAAATAGAGGTAAAGATTTAGCAGTATTTTGATAGTTGAAAAATTCCCTGCCTTGGGTTCAAAGTCTGAGGCCCTACCATATGAGCCACCAACTAAAAAGATGCAATTGTAGTCTGTGGAATACAAAATTTTAATACATTTAAAATAAGTACCTAGATTAACATTTAGGATTTCAAATAGCTGACAGGCAATCCAAACCAGATTAGCCAACTATATGAAAATTGTATAACTGTATTCCTACTGCATTGAAATGGTTACAGTGCCACACCTGCAAACAGTATGCAAAATAGCTCATTTACGCTCTAGAGCAGAAATGGATCATGCCCGCTCGCTAATCAGCTGATTTAACTGTTGACGTTTCTACACCAACCACAGCCACGGATCACGTACGTTAACAACCGGTAAGCTAATAACATAACCTTAAAAAACCAAACATAACCTGAATGACATGTTATATACATTAGAACCTTGATAACAAGACTCTCGTTGGGATTATATAATAAGACTTGTTATCAAGGTTGACTTCTTATCGAGGTTTGCACTAGTTTCAAAGGGATTTGAAAATGATCCTTGTTATCAAGGGTGACTTGTTATTAAGGGTGACTTGTTATCAAGGGTCTTGTTATTGATGATCTAGTGTACTACTAAAAAGTTAATCTGTATGTTATGATAAGTTAATTATGGTAATAGGAAAAACCCTTGTGTGTATTACGAGCACAAACAGTCATTGCCACTCTCAAAATGTATGGCCTCAGTTCTCGAGAGGCAACGTACTTTGAGCTCTTAATACACAAATATCCATTCCTAATGGAGGGCTATTACTGATCAAAGGTTAGTGACCAATTTGATTTGTCCTGAATTACCTGAGTTATTGGAAGGACGAGGAAAGCTCCCCCTCCGGCGACTTCAGTAACGACAGCCACAAACTTGGGATTGACAGCACAGAAGTGCGAGTCATGTGCGTTTTTGGTAATCTTGATGTTGTCGTAGCAGCGTTCTCTCTTGGCTGCGGAACCATACACATGACGGAACTTTGAGCTCCTCACTCCTCGAAACCCCAACTGAAAAATATCTAACTTTAGTGTTGAACAATTCATTGCTGAACCGTAGACACTGTAAAAGAGTTGATGAATTGAATTGAATAACAGATTATTAAGGTACAGATGATACACTCCATGGTTCACTTAAGTGGTGTCTAGCCCAAGTCCCTGGTGTCTAGGACTAAGTCCAACACCACCCTCTCGCTCTCATGTATCACAGCGCTCGCTCTCATGTATTACAGTGCTACCGGTGGAGGAAGACCCTGTGTTATGTACGATAGGAATTTCGGCACAGTGCTTGCTTCTTGGGTTCTCCCTTGCTCGTCATAAGTTTATTTCCAGCACAACATACCAGAGCTGAAAATGCAAGGTCGTCCCATTTAAGTGTGTTTCCTCAATACCTTACTTATCTGAGATTGGATTGAACACATTTTCATTATTCAGTTAAAGCTAAAGGACAATAATGAACAACCTCTGAACAAAAAAAAAATCAAGCAATGTTAAACTATGAGTAGGTAACGTGTATAGATATACTACAGGGTCATGGAAAAAGGTTTTCTGTGATTTCAAAGCTTAATAAAAAAAGGACCTATAAATAGTAAAATGTTCAGAGATGCATTAAAACATGCAGAAACTCATAAGTTTTTGTTACATAACCTTAATGTTACATATTCTTAAGGTAACCCATACAAAAAGTCTAACGGCATTAAATCCAGACTCCTAGGTGGCCACAAAACAGCCCCATTTCTCTGTCAATATTCAGAGCATCGCGTACGATATTGCTTAAATATCCATAAGTTAAACAAAAACGCCGTTGCACTAACACGACTGATATGAATTCCGCATACCATAAAACACACTGCGCCTTCTGTTTTAAGGTAGCCATGACTGCCACTACACTACTGCCAGTCGCAGTAAGCAAGGAGCCGGAAGTACAAATGTGCATGCGCACACGAGTCACGTGAGCCCAAAGTTCATTATCCGGAGTGAGATAAAAAAACCTAAGACTGTCTTTGTTCTTGGGAGTTGTTTACGTTTGTTCAAATTGTGGTTCTACAGTAGCAGACTACCATTAAGACAGTATTCTATGATTAAAAGAAGATCACAACAAACAAAGCGTAAAAGCCACATTAAAGATACCTCATAATATCACTATTTTATCTTTGTTAGCATCTTAAGACTTAAATGAGCTAGTACCAAGACTATGGGTTAAACTCGTTATTTACAAAAATATTTTTAATTGCCAAACATAATATTTTAGAAATCTTACAATATCCACCAAATTTAATCTCTAAGTTCAATTATACTTTGGATTCCTTGCGCTTATCTCAACAACTGAGATAAGAAGCTTATTTCCTCATAATCTTGTCTTTAGTGAAAAACAAATGCAATCATTAATTATTTTCCTTTCATAAACCAAACTGAGTACCAAGCATAAAAAACACTGGTGAAAAACTGTCCATGTGGACAAATGTTTTAAAATGGTTAATATGCTTTCCAAGAAAATTAGAATTTTAATAATGACCATACAATATATTATAAGTTAAATAGTCTATTTTAAAAACTGGAAAGAAAAAAAATGCTTGGAGGCATATTGGATTTTTTAATTGGGTTTAAAAATATAATTCTCAAATATAAATTTACGGAAGAGAGATTTATAAACAGTAAATCAAAATTAAGACCTTTAACATTATGTAGTCATCAAAAGGTAACGAGTTCATGACCTTTCTAAAAAGTCAAGCAAATGTCAGCGCCCCTATCTTTATAGTTGAGAGGCTAAACAAAAGTTTGAGGGTATCGTAACCAGGAATTATAATTACTAATGGAGTAATAACATCTACAGTATCATAATTCCCAGAAAAATCTCAAGGTAACCATAGTTACCTAAAACATTAAAGATTTTAAATGGATGCATGTCCTGTACTTTAATAAAAATATGTTTAGAATGAAAGGAAATAAAATCTTTGGTTACCAGTATAAAAAAGAAAAAAATACACTGGTAAGCTATTTCACTTTTATACAAATCTAAATGTGTATCACATATAAACTAATATATAAATGAAAATAAAATATGCACAAAAAACCGCAACCACTCACCTGATTATTTTTCATGGCAGCGTTTTGTGAAAAATAATAACTCAGCAAAAACTAACATTTACAACTGCAAACAAACAAAACATAAAATAAAACACAGCTACAAATAAGCATGCAACAAATAATAAATATAACTAATAATTTGAAAAACAAACTCGAATTTGGGAGTTTAAAATAAATAGAAGAAAGTAAATGGTAAATTAAAAAGTGTAATTTTTAACTAGTATACTGTACGTAACATACAAACACAAAAGATTGACTAAAGAATATTCTAAAATATTCTAGGAGAAAATTACCATAATTAAGAGGTGTAAAAAAACAAAATATTAAATTACATCAACGTTAAAATAAAAAATATATGAACTGAAAATAATCCAAAGCTAGATTTAGGGGTTTAAAAAATTTACCTCAACATTGAAAAATAAAAAATAACAATAAATAAATAAGGATAGCAATCAAATTGTCTAATAATCAACAAACAAATCACTGTAACACATAGATACCTACTATAATCACATACACAAAGCTAAGCATGCACTCGAATGATGGCCATTGATTTTAATTTGATTTAAATTATAATTTTACATATTTGGCTCGTTAACAAAATACCTAAACTGTTTTTGGGCTGGACTAACTGTTCCCTTTTAGATATCATACTTTTTAAGCATTTCAAATACAAAAACATTTCTGTTGAGAAGATATTTGTACTGAAATACTGTATATTATTTTATAAAATCCCCATCAATGTTTTAGACGTGTGATGTTTTTAAAATTAGTCTTACAGCATCTACATTTAAAGACAATAATACTAGAGAATATTATCGTTTTATATTTACCATAAGTCGGCAGCTAAATGTTACCAGTTCATTCAAGGGAAGTGTTTTGTGATAAGTGAGTGAGTCATGAAGCACAATGTCAGTTGGTTAGTCAAAACAAGGAAGTCTGGCAGTAAATAAAGACTCGTTCAACACTGGCTGTCATCTCAATCATCCAATGAGACTCACAATTTGCACGTGGTGTGCTATCGGTTCCGAGTGATATTTCCGCCTCCCCCTTCCTTGTAGGGGAATATTTTCTTGCGCCACCAACAAACCTAAAACCCCTTGTGCCCCTGGGCTTGGAGCCCTGCATTCAACATTCATAGCTCGCTTATCTTTGTAAAAATCTCACCCTGGTGTATTTGCTTTGTAAAAATCTCTAATCTTTAAGTTTAATAGTAAACTAGGGTAAGTTTTGACTTAGAAATTATATATATGTTGTTTATTTCCCACAGCTACCAAGAAGAACCTTCTTGCATCGAAAACCACAGCCACTTAAAATGACCTTCAGCATCTAAATCCACAGCAACCTAGAATAACCTTCCTGGATCTAAAACCACAGCTACTAGAATAACCAAATGACATCTAAAACCGCAGCCACTAGAATGACCTAACTGCATCTAACACCACAGCTACCAAAATAACCTTCATGTAAATAAAACAACAGCAACTAGAATAACCTAACTGCATCTAAATCCCACAGCCATTAGAATAACCTTCTTTATATAAAACCACAGACACTGGAATAACCTTTCTGTATATAAAACCACAGACACTAGAATAACCTTTCTGTGTCTAAAACCACGGTATCAACAATTACTTTTCCAAAACTGACTAAAACTGCTTAAAACAATTTCTCCACTGTGAGCAACACAAGTATCAAACAAATGGGACGAGAGAGTTAATAGAGTGTTTAGTAACGAGTCATTTATCTAGTCATAAAATTTAACTATCACAATGGTATCACGAACATGTGCAAGGAATATGAACTGTAAAGCATATTTCTAATCAATCATTATTCAAATTGTACATTCACAAATAGAGTAATAGAAATACAAAATTCATGTACATATGTTTGCCAATACACACTTTCATATGTCTTACAGAATATATTCATGGAGGAACAAATGTGTAACTTAAATACAATTTTACATTTACAAAAGATAGCTAAATTCATTTTAACCTGGATAAAAATTAATCTTGTTTAAATAATTCACGACGATTGGATTTAGTGACTGTTGACAGCATCAAAATGTATAAAACAATATTGCTCGTTAAGAACCATGAGGCATAATTACAAAAACAGCAAGACACACATAATCAAAACACAATAAACAAATAAAACTATAATGAAAAAGCATAAAAAGAAAAATTTACAAAAAGACTTTATTATATTGGATTAAATTTATTGATTTCCTCCCTTGCGAAGAAATTAGAAAAACTTTTAAACAAGTTTAAAAAACAACTAACAATATTTGTGATTGAACAGGAATTTGATAATTTAGAAGAATTAATAAAAACATAACTTTAAAAACGGTTTATTTGTTTATTTATAAAATATAACTTATCATTGACTATACACAGAATATACTGCTCATATAATTTACAAATTTTGAAGCCACAAAACGTGGTGCAATCTTTTGAGATGTTCTACCAACTAATGACAATATTCTGTGTCAAGTGATAAATCAATCAGCTGTTTGCTACGATTCTGCATGGATTTAAATTAATATTTAACCCAATACACTAATAAAATCTGGTGAGATGGTTCTGAACATAATTTATTTTCTTGGCTTCAAATTAAAACATTACATGGGAAGTCTATCCTGTGTAGTCAATGAGCTAACTAAATGTATAATATTGTGTGTAAAAATGGTAGTATATATGTTTGTATATTAGACTTTTCTATCATTATACTCAAGTAATTTAAAATAATGACATATTCACGTACATTTCATAGATGTTGAATAATTGATTTGATTTGAATTCTTTAAAAAAGAAACAAAACACCAAAATCCTTACAGTTTTACTCACGTCAGTCTGCTTGGTCCATATCACTACACAAGAGTAATCCTAGCACATGGGATGGCTACAATGGGAAGTGAACAGTACGGTAATATGTTCCACTCTCTACTTGCCTTAATTAAATGCAAGGAAGTGTTTCCCAGACTTTCTTTGATAACAGGAAGAGATTTCGGATTAACTTACTTCTCCACTTTACACCGTCGTAAAACTCTCTCTGAACAATACAGCTAATCGCCCGCTTCCTGCGAACTTGTAAATCGGGTCGAATAATATGATTTAGGAAAAATAACGAGGTTTTTAACGAGATCGCATGTACAAGTGAAGTCTAGCTTGCTATTTTTGATTGTTGACAACAAATGTTTTATGCAACAGGTGATATAAGTGTGTGGTTACTGCAGTAGGTACTGTAAAACAAAAATATTTAAATTTTATTAATGTCATCTTTATAACCTAAGAAGTAAGGATTGTATAGTGTATATTGATTCATATAAGTGCTGATTTTATTTTTTTAATCACAAATTGGGATTGTTCAGAAATAGTGACAAGTAAAAACTTGAATAAAATCTTGATATCCAGAATACGATTGAGTCCTTGAATTTGTAAAATTAGAAGCTAATAGCTGCAGCAAACCTTCAGACTAAGCTAATTTCCATTGTCTGATTGGATTTTCACTTTTCAGTTATAATTTCTTATTCTCTATTTAAATTAGATTAGATATAACGAGTACTCATTGCTGCTATATGAAAGTAATAATCTTTTATTTAGTAAAATGTTGATAGCTTAGTATGAAATAAATTTACTAACAGAATTTGATCAAGATATATATATCCATAAACAACTAGGTACAACAACTTATTCTCCAAAAGATTAGCATGAACATTTTAAATTTACAGTTTTTAAATTTTTCCATAATCATTAACACTTCACTGTACTAAATTATTTTCATACGCTCTACCAAATGGTTTGGAAAGAAATTGAAAAATGTTATGTTTAGAGATGGGAAACCTTATTTTAGTCCACAAGAACCCCAGTTCCCCATATTCTTATCATGCTGGTTCACAAACTCGTTCAAATAAATGTAGGCTTACAAGTTTGAACCGAATTTCATCCAAATCAGATCAGTTTTACTCGAGCAAACTGGCACATTTATGAATCTGAACAATAAACGGATGGTGTTTTTGGCCTCTGGGGTCTTCATATTTAAAAAGTTAAACAGTCCCGATGCTATGTCTTACCATAAGACCTACTTTAATAGCTTATACACTGTATGGAAAATTCACTCAATCAACTGAGTCTCTACTACCGAGCTCTGTTACCGACAGAGATATGTTTTTTTTACCTGGCTGAAGTGAAAAAAACTCAACTTGTCTCTGTCTGTGGTAGAGCTCGCTAGTAGAGACTCGCCTAAATTAAACGGCTCAAGTAGAAGTTGTCTGGACGAGTAGATTTCTTAGTGAATTTTCCATATAGGGAATAAGCTATTACCATAAGGCTCATGGTAAGACATCACCCCAGGACTGTTTTCTTTCTGAGGTCCCCAGAGGCCCAAAAACACTATCCGCTCAAATTCCTATATGTGTCAGTTCACAGGATAACTCGATTAATGATCCGATTTTGATGAAATTTGGTAGAAACATGTAAATCTATGTTTATTTGAACACGTTTGCGAACCACTATGATCAGACTATGGAAAAGGGAATCAAAATAGGGTTTTCCCCATTTTGACCCTCTAAACATTACTCAATTTCTTTCTCAACCATTTTGTAGAGCCCCAAGTTTTTTTTTTTTTTAAACCTGACTGAGGAGAAAAAAACCTCTTGACCATTGATCACAATAAAAATACTGTATTTAAAATCACAACACCCTAGAATAATAGTTCTAACTATGCCTACCGAATTACACTACACTTGTAAGCGATTTGTTAAGTACACATAAATCATGATGTCCAATATATTGGCCTTTTGCGCTAAAAGGTTGAAGAAATCACAACCATGATTTAGTCAAAAACCATGCTACCAATTATTAGAAAATTAGCAAGTTTTTATCACAGCAGTTTTAAAATTTAGAAGCATCGGATCAAGGATTTCCTTAAAACCTACATCAAGAAAATTGAGAGAGATTTTTAATTTGGGTCAATGCATAAATTTGATTAAATACACCGTTTCAATTTGACTAAATTTTAAACTTTTAATAAGTTACTTAAAAAAATCAAAGGATTTTCTGT